AGATCCCTCACTGCTCAATGGCCCTGAGTGCCGAGTAAAGGTCAAAATTTGAAGCCCTTCACCGGTATATGGAGACGTCTCTATATGAGTGAAAAATTCTCGAGTGGGACGTAAAACAATATACAATTAATCAATCAATCTCCAAGTAGAGTGACTTGCTTCTTCATTCCAAATTCGCTTGTCTGGCGCAGTGTTTAGTCAGCCCACGGGCTGACTAGTTACGGTGGGATGAAACTGCAAGTGCGCTTGCGTAATTTGGAATTCTGGGAAAAAGATGTACACGACTTGTTCTGAAGAAACTCGTGCTATTTGCTCCAACCAAAGGGCGTGATTCTTCACAAACACCCTCTAAACAAAGACGCGACCTCGATCTATTTATAGACTGCATTGATCTTTGTCGTTCTCGACGAAAAATTAAAGAAGAGATTGTTCTAAGTGGGAAATATGATACTATGAAAATATTTCAGTGCTTCTTACAGAAGATGAGAAGTTTATATGCAGAGCACATTTAACACTTGATATATATACCCTCAATCGCCGTTGCAAGTTCACGGCCTCTGAATGCCTGATGCAAGACTCCCTCGATCAATACCTTGCATAAGACATGTACGGGTCGGAATTCACACAATAATCCACTTGCACAAAGGTCCCAAAACAGTGAAAAAAAGAATCTCTTTTCAATTTAATGATGAAAGTTATGAAAACGTCAGAAGATCACTTAAGATGTGTAAAGTCTTATAATTTACACGATGATAGACATGTAAGTGCCGCTTGTGCACGTGAACCGCGCAAACAGGTGAGAAACTGACCACAGTAGAACTGCGATAGTTGAGAGAAACTGCGCGGATTTATAGACAGCCCCCCCCCCCCCCCCTCCGCCTCAATTAGAGAGAATGAGCGAGATGGAGTCCAGTATCATTTTAGGGTATACGTACTGTATGTATAATATATTTTGAATTTCCAGTTTATTACTTTATTTTGGAAGCAATTCTTTTCTTTCCTAATAACACTAAAATGAATGCTTAAATTTAGAAATTGAATTAAATATACATACACTATGCAACCCTCCCCCTTCCCCTTTCATGCATTGCCTCGAATCTGCACGATTAAAAACTTTTATCCAATAATAATTAACACAATCTAACCCAAGGTCTACCTTCCTTTTAAGCATCATAATCTATATCATTTATAGAATTTAACAGTAAAATTGAAAATGTATACATTCTTCAACGTTCAATGATTGGGATCATAGTGGCTTTGTTCATTTCTGAGACGAACTTTATCTGATGTCCGCGCCCAAGAGAAATTAATTGGAGGTCATCATAAAGATCACGATGTAACCTAACTAAATTTATTCTATGCTTTATTATTTATTATGTACAGCATTATGTTACAAATAAGAAAACGAAATTTTAACTTAGACGACAATGACTTTTAATGCACACGACATGATGGATAAAACAAATCATATACCATCACAAAACAAGATAGAAACTTTCTATATTCCAGTGGCTGACTCTCAGCTTTTTTTAAAAAGCTAACCTTGTTAGAGAGTTTGTTCTAGCATCGCGGAGTAAGGAATTTATCTTTGCATCGCGAGTTTGAATCCTCTATATGACGGGGAGACCGTTCTTTCGGATGAACCGTATAAACCGAAGCCCCATTCGCAGGAGGTGTTGGCACGAAAAAGATTCCTCACTGCTCAAACGCTGTTAGTACCGAGTATAGGTCCTAATTTTGCAGCCCTCCACCAGCAAGTGGTAGCATCTCGATTCACCAAAGATCAACAACTTCTTATCCCACCTTATATTTTATATTTTTCTTTGTACATACGAACTTTTCAAATTTGTTACATTAAACATGTTTTATTCTGATCCTAAACAACAGTCCAGTCGAAACACATCATTCTAGTTTTATTTTCTAACTTCAATTTTAAAAAGTTAATGACTTCAGTTATTATATTCTGAAAAAATTTGGGGGGGGGGGGGGGGTCATACGGGTTAGAGTTAATCTGATATTATTTAGAGCAGTTTCCAATATAAGAAAGATCCTTTTGCATAGGAATGAATTCAAAATTCACAATTGCTTTTATACAGTATATTCACGCAGAGCTACTAGGAAAGCTTTAAAAATAGATTTTTATAGTCCCATTCAGATTTTTTTAACTTCTAGAACGTGATAGAAAAATATACATTTACTTGGTCATTATTGGGTCATTGGAAGACAAAAGAAAATTGGATCAGGACACTTTCGGCATAAAATTGTCGCATATTAAAATTCATAAACAACTGCGTTGTTTGTCATACAATGTAAAGTATCTTTGTACAAACTGCACTGAAATCCACGTTTCAAACAAGAACATAGAGAGAAGGGTGAGATATGGGCCTGAGGACCATTATTTAAAATAAATAAAACCGATGTATCCCCTGTCTTTAAAAATATATGTAATGCATACCGCGTCTATTGATACCAATACTTACGGGTAACCCAAATAGGCATTCATTATGGGACACTCAAGAGTTTAAATGCCTTGGGAAAGAACTTGTCACGAATAGTGCATTGATCTCCAATAGAAATGTGTATTTAGTATTTTTTTTCATTATGACAAAACACTGTACAGTACCAATGCCTGAATAGGTAAAGTAACTCTATACAGTTGTTTGAATACATTTCAAAATATTCCCTTTATTAATAATTTCCCCTTGGTTACTTCTAATTGCCTTGTGTTTTCTGTAAATTTTGCAAGCTCTATAGTAGATAAAGACGTTGAGATTTACTGAGACACTGAAATTCAAATATCTTTAAATGTGTTTTATTCTATTTTAAATTCTCCTTTTTATATCTTTTTCTATCTTTTATTTGCTTCATTTATTGCCTTTTTTTATCGACAGAGGAAACATGTAATTTTGTAAGAAAGAAAAACTTCAACTGCATTGTATGAAGAAATAGTCATATACTGAATGTTTAAATATTATGATTATATCTATTTTGTGAATAATTTCATAACATTTCTGGAAGGAGAAATGATAAATAAAATCCTTCATATTTCTTCTCCTAAGTCTGCGTGACAGCTAAGTCGGAGGACAAAAAAATTGAGAAATCTATTAATGTAGTTTTCATGTTGAACAAATATTAATACAAAAACAATATATGTGTTGCCCTTTTATTAAATTATAACAATAAATAACATTAAGAGCAAAACTTAATTCCAAATTTTGTTATTGAAAATTTACGTTAAGTATCCCAGTGTGTTCTAAAAAAGATATGAATTAATATTAATCACATGAATGTATTCAAATACTTGCCTAAAATGTTGAAGAGACTGACTAAAAATATCCAAATCCTAGGAACAGAGGTCATACTGAATTATGTATTTGATTCAGTATGTATAAAGATTCAGCAATAAATCGAGCAATTTCAAAATCCCAGAACAGAAAGCAGAATTTCAAAAGGCAAGCATATATACCTCCTGCGGGAAATATAAATGCGTAAGACTACATGTGTACATGTATATGGATCAATGATCACATTTATTTTCGCTTTAAATAGCCAAAAAAAATAAATCGGTACAAAAAAGAGGAAATTCACATATTCCAATTGAAAAAATCCATTCTATTTGATATATATATTTAATTAATTCTTGCAGTGGCTGTCATCAAGATGCTCCTAAAAAGAGTCATGTCATTTTATAGATTTGAAATCGAGAAAAGTCTACATATAACCATTTGTGACGTACATAAGAGTGCGATAGGAAATGTCAAAAAACAAAAACAAAAAAACAGAAATAAAAAACAAAAAAAACATACAACAGAAAAAAGCATTGAACAAAAAACAAAAACAAATCAGGATGTGCCATATAAAATAACCTTTAAAGCTACCAAAAATTGATTTTTATTCGAACCTATTCGTGCCTGACGCAACATAGTTCCAAATAAAGGGGTCAATTGGAAATGTCCTTGCCTCATATGTTAAAAAAATATTATAAAAGAAGATCGAAAAAAATTGAAAAGGTGAGGTACATCACTAGGATAACCCTCGATTTGAAACGGCTTAAATTTCGAAGATCGTCTTCACTGAGGTTTTACAGGAATAAATCTTCTATGAAAAAATCAAGTAATGAGCATTTAAAATCATCGGCATATGAATAAAAGACAATTAAACGATCAGCTCTCATAAGACCGTGGAACATTGGAAATATACAGCTTATGGGTACAATTAGGCACGGACACAGAAAAAGAACAGAAAGGTGAGCGTTGTGACCAATGGAATACTTTCATTTTGGAATATCCTGCCAACAGTTGGTGACTGGGCATTTGTACTTTTTATAACCCAGGCTGAGATCTAGACACATTCTCTTTTATCCGAATGTACATTTTTCCAGAAATTTCATATAAATTAGCTTGCATGCCCTTGAGAAGGCAGGTCGGAAGGAAAATATAACCCTCCCTCATCTTCAAAAAGATCAAACAAAAAAATCAGAACTACATGTTCTTCCGTATCTTCATACAGTCATAGAGAACAGACGTTGAAGGGCAAATTTAACTAATTTTGCATAATTATTGTAAAAAAATCACGCTCAAAAAATATACATGTAGACAAATATATAGTTAAATAACCAATTAACAAATGACAAGAAAGAATAAAACATTATTTATCTCAAAATGGAATATATAAGAATTAGAGTTACTTAGAAAAATAGAAATGAAAAAAAAAAAAGATAGTGAATAAACTCTGACACTGTACGTCACTGGCTGGACATTACGTCATATCATAATTTTGTCTTTTTACACACAAAAAGAATAGATCGATTATCAATCGCTAAACTCGTATATTTGTATTAATTCTTGTGAAAGCAAGTTAGTTTATATACATCTATAAATAGATACAAAGCTTTAATATATACATGTAATAATAATAAACACGAAATCGGATTTGAATACCATTAAAATGAGAATATCACATTAAATAAATGGCACTTCTGAAGAAAATATAAGAAGACGTTTTCATTGGTCAGTATTTAGGTGGTGGTGGAGGGGGGTAGGCGGGGTTATTGCCAGGTGGAGGTGGGTACTGGTTATATTGACTGAATCCTGGCTGTGGTTGTCCGTAACTCGGTGGCGGCTGTCCATATCCTCCCTGCCCATATCCTGGTTGTCCATATCCTGGTTGTCCAGAATGAGCTGTTCATAGCAAATTGTATATCATATTATATGTAACAAATAATTAATTTCATGGTTGTTTCAATTAATTATAAAAAGCTAATAAAACGTCTAAACAATAATTTTGAAATTCCAGAAATAATTTATTGTGCATTTAAATAAACGTTAGATCATCAATAAACAGTTTGATAGATATTATTTTTTTTTGTTGACTTGTCATCGTCATTTGCTTCATTTTCTCTATAAAAGAGACTAGCAACAAGCCATATCGAACCAATGGTGAACTCTATGATTGTGACTTAAATGTGTCATTCACAGTGGTCTAAGCCTGTTTTGCTCCCGAGAGTTTTATTCTGTGTCCTCGAACTTTTTCTAATGAATATATTTTCTGACCACGAAGTAATAAAAAGAAACCCCATACTTTGTTCTATACCAGCCACCGAAGGTTTATATTTGGTTCTAAAGGAAAAGGGAATTAATTACAATAAGTCTGTCCCTTACTTGTAGTCACGGTGTTTACTGCAGCTGTATTATGAATGACCTGCCCTGGTCGGTTTTTCTTCTTACAGCAGATGATAATGACAACGACAACAACGATGATTGTGAAAATTATGCCTCCCACGATAGCACCTGCAATGGTCCCTACGTCACTGTAGGAGGAGTAGTAGTAATAACAGTAGTATCCGCTATAGCCAGAATAGTAACAGTAATACCCAGCTGATGCTAAATGGTACCCTGAAACAAATAGAAAAGAAACTTAATTTTCAAACATTGTGATAGAAAGATTATACATTCGTTACACGAAAATTGTCGAATATATAAAAAGTATGTTACATTAAAAGTTTAAATCTTAATTTAAACTTAGACAATAATATAGATAAAATTAAAATTCACACTTATAATGTAACATAGTATATATTGTTATTGTTAAACATTCAACACTAATTCTCTCTCTCTTACTCTCTCTCTCTCTCTCTCCCTCTCTGACTAGTTTTTTAAATGAATGTTTGCATTTTTTCCTTGTAGTATTAAATGTTTATTTTATGTATATTGTACCTCTTGATATTGATATTAAGGGGTGAAAGAAAATAAGCATTACTAACGGGACGTTCGTTTTCATTGCTCACGAGTTTAAATGCCTTCAGAAAGCAAAGAGTTATCGATCGATTTACATTAGAAATGTGTGTTTAACTGAATATTTTATTATGAAAGGACTTGTACAGAACCAATGACTGGATACGAGAAGTAACTCTATACTTCTTGAACTTCATGTATATATTTTAAGACATTTTAAAATATCTGATTCAGTGCTCCCTTTTCTTTGGATATCCCTTTGATTGCCTGTTGTTGTTTCTTTAATTTCAATATGAGATAACGACATCGAGATTAATGTAAAAAAAAATAAAGGTCAAATATATTTCATGTTTTTATATTCTAAATCCACAGAATGTATAGGCATGTTATCTTAATTTTTCATTCATTCGGCGAATAAGGTATGAAAACTAATTGCACAATCTAACATATTATTTAGAAATGAACTTTTTTCCTGGATGTACAAACATTATATTATTATCTATTAGACAAATGATATGAATATCGAAAATAAAGAGAATAAAACTTTTATTAGAAAAAATATATATAATTGTACATGTTTCTATTAATATGTCCTTTTCACTGCAAGTTTGGAGGACAAATACAGGAATTTAATTCATTGTAGTTCTGGAATTGAATAAATATTCACAAAAATATAGTTTTGTCTTCCTATTTTAATATATAACAATAAATAAAACGACATTTGAAACATTAGATAAGTCCTCTTTTTTTAAATTGAATCTCAAATATGTTATATATTCTTAATCTGTAAAAAGATTTGAATATGAAAATAATACTATAGATAAGTAAAGTCATATTAATCAAAGGAATAAGTCGAAAAAAAATTAAATAAATACCTAAGACGTGGAAGAGGCTGAGTAAAAATATCCAAATCCTAGGAGCCGAGGCCATGATTCTGTATTTGATTTATCGTGGTAAAGATTCTGCAATAAGCCGAGCAATTTCAAAATCCGAGAACAAATCATGGAATTTCAAAATTCAAGTACACCTCCTGTGGGAAATATGATTGCGTATATGGATCAATGACCTTTATTTTCGCTTTAAATGTCCAACAGGTAAATTTGGTTCAAAACGGTCATTTATTTTTCACTTTTTATGTAAAGTTCATAAATCCTAAATAATTAAAAAAGAATAGGTTACTTCATGCGCGGATCAAGAGGGGGTCGGAAGGGGGGTCCGGAAGCACCCCCCCCCCTGGAATTTGTAGAGTTATTAAAAGTATATACTGAAGCAAATAAAAATGACATTGGAACCCATCCCCCCCCCCCCCCCGAAAACGTGGACCCCACCATCACCACCACGTAATACTTTTTTTCACGTTAGGGAAATGGATTTTACGTTTCTTTCTTTCTTTCTTTCTTTCTTTTTTTTTTTTTTTATTGTTTTTTTTTTTTTTTTTTTTTTTTGTTTTGTTTTGTTTTTTGTTTTTTTTTGTTTTTTGTTTTTTTTTTTTTTGCTTGTCAAGAAATTTCCTGGTTGGAATTTTTTTGACTGGAATGGACCCCCCCCCCCCGAAAAAAAATCCAGGATCCACGCCTGTGCGATGTTACTTGGTATACATCTTGGTGTGGCTGTCATTAAGATATTCATGAAAGTATTCATGTCAACTGATGAATTTTAATAGGAAAAAAGTCTAAACATTTGTGACGTCATTAAGAGTCAAGGTGAGAAGGAACAGATATAGTCATATAAAGAGGGCGAGTATATGAGGGATGATCAAAAAGTTTGCGAACTAATTAAATAACCATTCACAATTAATAATAAAAATAATAAATAAATAAATAATTCAAAGGAAATTGACAAAGGGACTTTAAAGATCATGGTTACATGTATGTATTTTCCTGTTTCAATGGGCTGCAGCATAAGGGTTACCAATCTATCTATCAAAATTGATTATGTCTTAATATGTATACCTACATGTATAGAGATAACTTTATTTGTGCCTTTAACCTAATAGTTTCAATTCTCGGCTTCTCGTGAGCAACCTTCAAAGCAACCTGTCAAAATACAACAAATATGGTGTTTTAGGGTCAAAAATCAATCAATTAAAAAAAAATCAAGAATATAATCTAATTTTGAGATTTTTCCAAATGTGCAGAAACATAAAATACTTGTATATCGTCTTCTATGAAAATTTTTAAAAAAGAAAGAAAAGGGAAATAAAATTAGACAACATAGATTTGTAAATTTCGGGGGGGGGGGGGGGGTATATATCCTGAATTAAGAATACCTATTTTTTACACTGACTCGGCCTTTTTTGTGGCTACAGCCTCATGCAGTAACCTTTTGACCTTGCTTATTGTGACGTAAAATATATCACCTTTATGACGTCATAGTATACATGTATACTAACATTTAATTGTTTGATGGCAACTGGACCCACAAAGAACACAGCATGTTTCTAACACTTTTAGGATTAGTGGCGTATTGTGTTGAAAGACACAAATCTAGAACTAAAGGTATTTATTACCAGATATCATTCTTCCCGTATTAGAATGGAATCAAAAATAGAGTATATCTTAATTTTCTGTAACTATGATCGCTAAGGAAAAATTAATTTATTTGCTTTCAAGGAACGAAAAATAAGGTTTTGCAAACAATTTAAATCAGTTTTTCTACAGTTCCGTAGAAATTTCGAAAATTTTCTTTTTAAGGATAATTATAAAAAAAAATTAAATATAATTTTTTTATAAATATAATTGTTTTAAAATATTGATATTTTTCAGTACAAGCAAAAAGCACGATATTCCACGTAGAGAATATAATGGTGACAAAGGAACGAACAAAGGTTAGTGTAACGAAATATTTTTCTGTGCTTTTTTTTTCACACTTTTGAAAAGTACACATGTAGTCAAAATTTCTACACATGTGTATGTAGAAAGTAGTAAAAAAAAAATCAATATAAATACTGGGTTTTTTTTTTTCATCAGAATGGTAAGGAGGAGAATTCGACGAAAGAAGCTGCTGGTAAATTGGAAGAGAAAAGATTTAATGATGATAATGGATTGAAAGATGGAAATGGATTAAAAAATGAAAAATACGGAGAAAGGAAGAGGGCCGCGACGGATTCCGAGTGTAAACGTCGCAGTTGGGAGAGGGGAGACATTGATTATATGGGAGCCGACAGCTTCGAGAACATCATGAAGAAGCTGAACAAGAGCATGGATTGTGTCCCTTGCTATGATACGCATTAGAGAAAAATATGGAGTATAATTATATGATGCGAAAGTAAATACTGGATCATCCCATTTTTAACTTCAGCTTTATTAATGTTCTTTAAATGAACTTTTTAAAAATCTAAAAAGGAAAAGTGAATTTAGAGAAGAAATATATAGACACATTTGACATGTTTAAGCGTTTAAGAGATGGGAAATATTGATTATGTGAAACTGAAAACTTTGATAGAATCATTTTGTGTTACCGAAAAAAAATATGGATTATGGTACCTGCAATACATTAAAGGAACTTCTAGATGATGACTAATACTGTATAATACATGTAGCAACGTCTTTCATATTTTGAACCTCAGGTGAAATAATTAGTACTAGTGTTTTAAAATGTAAAATCTTTCCAAACTGTGTAATAAATATATACAATTATTTATGTTTGTTTCAATGATTTACAAAATACCTTACACGCATTATTTAGAAAATTATCGTTTCTAGTTTGGGTGTCCGCAATAGATACGAACATTAAGAACATGAAGACAAAATTATACGAGTCAAAAATGTACCAACAGTTGGTGAAAATAAAATGTTGCTTAAATACTGAATCTGGGTGTGCTTTGAATAACTATACATTACTTGTAACAAAAATTTGATAATGAAATTCAAGCAGCCTAATCCATTTTGGGGGGGGGGGATGGGGGGGGGTTCCTTCACTGATGGAATTTCGAAGTAAATTCTTTAATATAATCTTTAATCTGTGTATATCTTTTCGTTCAGACAAAGATTATAAAGTATCACAACTATACATTACTTGTAACAAAAATTTGATAATGAAATTCAAGCAGCCTAATCCATTTTTTTTTGGGGGGGGGGGATGGGGGGGGGGTCCTTCACTGATGGCATTTCGAAGTAAATTCTTTAATATAATCTTTAATCTGTGTATATCTTTTCGTTCAGACAAAGATTATAAAGTGTCACATGTTGAAATAAATATCTTGCATGTAGACAAAAGAATAAAATAAAATGAAATAAATAAATAACTTGCACTTCGCATTCAAGATACTTTTAACGCGTGGGTAAGCTTTACTCTTTCTAAAGGAGTTATGTTTTGTGCACATTTATGTTGAATATAGCATAACTATCTTGCATGCTGACATGAATAACTTGAATATTAAATTATGAAACCCTCTACATCTTTACATGTAAGTCAACAGTATAGAAAAATTGCATGCATGAACAGGGCAGAAATAAGCATACATAAAAAAGCTTTAATTTTTATTATACAATCCAGATAATAGAGGATTCTTTTGTAGAAATTCATTTTTCATTTTTAAAAATCTATTTCTACTATTTCTTTTTGAAAAGGGTGGGATGGGGGTACAATATCAATGTAGAGGATTGTTGTCTGAAATAAAATTTAATATAGCAGATTACTCCACGTAGCCCCCCCCCCCCCCATATATATTTTTCTTCAAAATTCAAAGTTGTTCCAAGTCTTTTAATGATGTAATTAAGTAGGCTGCAATTCCGTCACAAATCATCGAATCAGAATGAAAAGCAAACTTGATCTGAACCACATCGAGGTACGCTCACATATCAATAATTAGCTAAATATCTACAAGAATTATTTTATTAAGAAAAAAGTGTCGAAAACCAAGTGATCAGACTGACAGACAGATGAGGAGGAAACCTATAGTCCCCTCTGGTTTCACTTGTAGGGGACTAATAGTGAAGGGGATAACTGCTCTTAAAGCTGAATAAATATCCCCAAACCCTCATAAACGATCATAATAGACCCTCACCCTGTCCTCGGAACCCCAGTCTCAGGGGCCATAAATTTCACAATTTGGGGGGAAAAAAACACTCTTTCTCATCATAATCATGCTCTCAATCTCTCTGCCTAATACTCAAAAGCTAAGAAAATGTTCAAAGAATTAATGCATTTTCACTGTATAACCAATAAAGCCGGTCCTAACCCAAGAATCCATGAATTAATGCATATTTACTGTATGATCAATAAAGCCCTGTCCTAATCCCAGGTCCATGAATTATACAATTTTGGAAGACACATCCTTGCTTAGCATATTATGCACTTAGTTTGTTCTCAGCAAAATTGATGGAGATGATATTTGAAGAATTTATGCACTTTCACTGCATGTATTCATCAACAGAGCCCCACCTTTATACCAGAACCCCGAATGCGAGTGCCGAGTAATGAGGACAGATGAAAACAGAGAGCAAAGAGTCACCCAAGTATGTAGACAATGACCACATTACATTAATTCTTTTCTCGTTTAGTACTAAGCAATTCTAAACCAGGTCTTACAGACACAAGCTTCACATATGGACTTGTTTTGCTTGTAAAGGATGCAAATATCAAATATTATTGTAAATCTATGATGTTCAAATTTCTTCCTTTTTGCCATCACCATTATAAAATACACTACAACACACTTATAGCAAGCATGCTTCTAATGAATTGATGCTTACACTGAAGCAATTATCATTTCCCTTGACTTTAAAATATATTTTAAACTTCAAATTAACGAATAACTCTTAAAACGAAAAAAAATCGTCCTTCCCTGGCACTTTTTAACAAGTGTGTTTTACTGTATATATATTTTTCTCTACTTTAAAGGACATTATTGGAAATCTTTGAAAGGAAAATGAAACTTTACATGGCTTAACTATATAATTCATTTTACTTATAAAATTATCTTATTTTCATGTTTTTAGAAAAAAATTGTTTGCAGCTTCTCTCCTTAATTTAAGTTTACTCTCTGAGTGCATGACAACATTACATTGGCTTTGTCTGAGGACATTAAAATGACCAAAGCAACCTTTTATTCAGATTCCAGCAGTTTTTTAATAATTCTTAAATGGATAACATTAGCTATATTGTGTTAAAATTAAGTAAAAATCAAAGAAATTTTTACAAAAAGTATATAAAATCCCTGTCCAGCAGGCTATAAAGAAGTCATGTTCACAAAAGCATTGCACTAGGTTATTTATGTAATATTTAATAGTGTTATCAGTCCGAATGGACAAATGGACGGAAGATATAAATATAGAGATATACAAAAAAAAAAAAATATTAAATAAATAAAATCAAAACAAAAATATGAATTACAATAATACATGTCCTTGTGTTTCTAAATTAAAATAACTACATGAATGTATAATTAACTGTTAAGAATAAATAAACAGGTAAATTTAATCCAAAAAAATTCTTCATAACAATTTTTCCCTTAAATTCCGTTAGTTAGAAAACATAATGATGATCACAGTGTAATATCACAGAATAGGATTGTAATTGACAAGTACAAAAGTGGATTAGTGAGAAAAGAAACTGGCACACTATTTTGATTGGAATGCATGCAAGTCAGATTAATACATAGTGACATCACAGTACAAGGACTTCATCTCTTCATAGTGGATCTTAAGTCCATCTGAAATAAAACAGAAAAAAATCATAATAAAAGCAATCTGAAACAATTTCAAACCATCAGCCTTCCTAACATATGTTGCAAGAAAGAGAAGTAAAATTTTCTGTCTTTACATTGTAATTTTATGTACACCATATCATAAACATTTACATGTATTTGCTATTTAACAAATTCTAACATTCAATTTTGCAAATACACAACATGTCTTACATGTTATATACACGTCACAGTCATTGTAGTATTTTTATTTCAGTACATAAGTACTGCCTGGCCATTACTTCCATTTCAATTAATAACAAAATATTTGAAAACAAGACAGTTATAGAGAACTTAATATGCTGAATCTAAAAGAAATTTGTGTTAAGAATATAAATTACTTCGTCTATATAGTAAAACAAAGAAATTATAAAAATTGTGGTCCCCTGCTTATGGTGTCTTAATGGCTGGGATGCAGTTATTTATGGCATATTGGAACTGTCTAGTTTGTGTGTCCTTCAAAATTCTAGGTCAAGGTCATGAAGTCAAAAGTGATATATATCTTTGAGAGATGTTGTCATAGGTAATGCAATTGTCAAATATGAAAGCTCCATCTTCTCTCATTCAAAATTTACCACCACTGTTAATTTTTTTTGAAATCAAGTCGAACATCAAGGACAGGGGGTCAAAAATCAAGCATGATCCGAAACGTCCTGTCACAGGTAATGCACATGTAAAATATGAATGCTTTATCTTCTCTTATTCAGAAGTTATAACCAATGTTAAAACTTTTGAAAAGTGGGTCAAACTTCAAGGTCACGGGGTCAAAAATCATAGTATATTTTTAACGGTTTTGTCACAGGAATTGTACATGTGAAATATGAAAGCCCTATATATTTCTTCTCATTCAAAAGTTATGACCAAGGTTAAATTTTTTTGTGAAGACAGACTGACAAATGAATAGACAGAACGTCACACTGACAGATCTAGATGAATTAGATAAATGTCCCATCACTTTCGCAAAAGCTGGGAAAAAATAAAGGAGCCAAATTTCATGGATGTATCATACATGTAAATGTATTCAAAGAAATTGCACATTTTTATTGCAGCATTGTACATAGTATAGTGGTTTAGTTTCTTAAAACCAAACTAAGCATTTGAATTGGTCTCCCAAATCTTTACATAAATCATGGTGAAATGATGAGAAAGGGACATTCATTCATTCAGTTTAAAAAGAATTAGCTGCCATTTATCTGTTGACTAGGTCAAGTTATGGTATTATTACAGCATCTTAACCATTAGTATATAATATGTCATGCAAATATTAAAATGATTTAAAACCAAAAAAAATAAAGGCAAAATAAGGCAGGGAAACAATGAATTCATAAAATAAAAAAAATTAAAAAAATAATTTTATCAGCAGATAAGCACAAACACCAACTTAGGAAGGGACTGACTGTCAAGCATAACAGAGTTAGAACAGTTACTGTAAAAATCAAAGATCACCTAATACGTTTCTTCCTCTGTTTCCTGAATGCATTCAAAGAGATGTGCATATTAAAAAGTTTAATTATATATTTATTTAGTTAAATTAATACACTTATTGAAAATATGTGTGAAATATTTTTCTGCTTTTACATTTCAATTGGCATACATAAAAATATATTACCGTTCACTTAAATCTATAAACATGTACATGTAGATTTTAGCCAAAAAAATTTTTTTTTTTAATATTATGAAAGCCTCAAAAACAGACTCTTACCTCTTCTATTGCAGCCTGCTTCTTTTTGCCTGGGCTTCGAGAACGCTCTCGCTTGATTCTTTCTTTCATTCTCTCTAATTGTTTGTCCTTTTCATCCTATGTTGAAAATTAACAAAAAACAATTTAAAATCAGATTTTTGCGTACACTTTTGACTTCACTGTTTGATATTACTGTGTTTTCTAAAACGAATTCTTTTAAAACTCTGTCTAAAATAAGGATTTTTTGAAAAAAAGAAATCTCTTTATCCTTTATTTTCCATGGCTTTTTAAAAAAAAAAAATGTTCAAGAAATTATCTAACTAAAAAAGCAAAAAGTACAAATTTACATACTGTTACAGTAGTAGGTGTATCAAAATTATTAAAAACCTGTTTGGCGGCAAGTAGACTGGTTTTCTGACGTTCCCCCAGGTTGAGAAGGCTCTGGACTTCTGCTTGTTTTTTGCTTTGTCTTTCTGCAAGCCTTCTTTTCAGCTAAAACAACAAAACAAAATCCACATGTACATGTTGATACATGTAGTCTTCGGACTTCTTAAACTAACATCCATATCTCTCTCTCTCTAAGATTATATTCAGGATGAATAATAAAGGTCTAATTACATACACTAACAGTGAATGTTGAAGAAAGAAAACAAGTTAATTCTTTGTCATTAAGCACATTTCTTAGCTCTAAGCCATTTTGATTTTTGAAATGGCCCCTTATGTCCCCCATACTGACCATTTCCTCCTGTTTACGCTGACTCTCCTGCTTATGTTGCATCACAGCTGTCTGTTCTCTCATCAGTTTGGTGTATGTGTCATGCTTCTCCTTGTCTGACACAGTCACATCCAGGGCTGTCTTCTCTCGCTTCATTGAAGCAAATGGATTCTGTTAGAACAAAGAGTTGAATGATTTAGTGTCATTTTGGACTATATTAGCAAAAGTAGAAACTTCCATCTCTCTGCCCTAGAAACTTTAAGATTTATCCATTCAACTAATTACCGTATATACTCGCCTATAAGTCGGTCCGCCTATAAGTCGTTTGTATTTTTTAAGCTTCAATTAGAGGGATTGACCATTTTAAATACATGTACCATTCTTTTTTATAACTCGCGTATAAGTCGGATAAAGAATTTTGTACCCAAGTTTAACTCCCAAAAAAACGACTTATAGGCGAGTATATACGGTAACTCAAAATTCAATTTTTAAATTGGTACTAAACCACACATAGTTAGAATGGTACTTATAAACTTTCTAAGATTTTTATCATCTAACTTTTATCTTAATATCATAAGACTAAACAACCATGCAGAGTACAGTGCTTTAATGGTCTAACTGCCTTAAACTGTTTATGATTCTTCATCTCAGCATATAAATACAGACAAAACTATCCATAAATACAGACAAAACTATCCATACCGTAAATCTGGAAATTTTTTACTGTAGATAAATTTTTAGCAAATTTGCGCATGCATTGCATTCATAAAAATATTTTTCTTAAAAATAAATCTACAACAAAAAATGTAAACAAAAATTTTGCTGACAGTTGTTGTATATTTTTAACCCAGTGAACAGGTGTTCGTAAGCAGTGGTCATTTTAAGAAACCTGTTTATATTTTATGTACATGCATGATTTAATAAAATGTTATGAAAGCTTTAAGCAGTTTAGATTTCTTCTAATATTTTATCTGATTATTGAACGTTGGCATCGATAAATATTGTAACTATGTACATGCATTATTTATTGTACATGTATTTACATGCGTAATTTATAAGCTATTATGAATATCTTAAGCGCTTTTTAATTTTAGCGCCAATGACAAATCGCAAAATTTTGAGACGTAAAAATTAATCAACAACTTTTTGACCCATATTGGCAAAAATAAATCGACGTAAAAATTTTCAGATTTACGGTAAATACAGACAAAACTACCATGCTTTTTTGATCTGAGATATTTTTTCAACAATACAGAACAATATACAGGTAAATGTACTCACACTGTCCATTGTATTAGGTCTAGAACCATCACTCGATCCTGAGAACCTCTCTTCATCGGTCAGTGACCTTCTGTTCTCATCCTGATCCTCTGTTGCCTTCTTTCGTGCTTGTCTTCTGGCCTCCAGTCTCTTTTGCAGCTGTATGAACAAAGTGACATAGTTTAAAATTACAGTTGAACTTTGGTATCTCAAACACTGATATCTCGAATACCATGAATGTGTGGAAGTGATTTGGAAGCCCCAATCTCTTAATCTTTAAGTATTTTACCCTGTGTATCTCGAATCCTCGAATATCTCGAAGTTTTTTCTCGGTCCCATTGTGTTCGAGAAAACGAGGTTTAACTGTATTAGCAATAATTAATTTAGATTGTTGCCATTTTGTAAAAGGAATCCAAGCATTGCAAAGTGTACACTAAAATAGAATTTTAAAATTTCATTACATCCTCCCCAATTGATAATTTAAATTACATGAACTTTTAAATCTACATGTATATATTTACAAATTTTAATCAGAGAATTTTAAATTACCATTCATGTCAAATAACATTAATTTGATATAATTTTTTTTTTTTTACACATGTTCCATACCTCTGAGCTCTGCTGACTTCGTTCTTTCTCTGTTGTCTCTTTCTGTTTTTTCTGGCGGCTCTCGGAGAGCAGTATGAGTTGAGCCGCCTTGATCTCCTCGCTCTCTTTCTCCTCTGTCTGACGTTTACGAGCCGCCACCTTCTCCATCAATTTCTTCCTCTGCTGCTCCATATCAGCTGTCATTACCTGATTTAACAAATCAAAGGAGTGATGATTCTCATTAAATCATTGACAATCAATTTTCATCAGTGGCTTTTTTGACACCAAAGAAGACTATACAAGACTTTTAAATTAGTTCTTAAATGCTTTTGTTGATTTTTTGTTCCAGTTTTGATATGAAATGCCAACAACACACTGATTGTTAAAGTTAAAGAAATATATATCAAAAAAGACAGCATTCTTCTCCAATAAATGCACCATTACATTATTTAGGTGGGTTAAATAATTATGAAGAAGAAGCTGGGGAAGGGGATATTTCAAAATACTTCTTCATAAAGTAAGTTGTTAAACAGATGTTGTAGTTTTTTTTTTCCTTCTCTAAACTGGTTCACAGTGATAAAAGTTCCAAGTCAACAAAACATCTACATAAAGTAATGGAACCTACAAAAATTATTGTATAACAAAACAATTGTAGACTAAGTTTCAGGACAAAAGCTGTTTGAATTTGTAATTGACCCTCATTTATCTCAGACTGCAGCTCTGGGCAACAGATCCATTCTTGAGTCAAACAGAACAACTGTTGTCTTTGGAACCAGTCAATAATGGTACATTGTTTCTTTTTTTTTTATTCTAGCACCTATATAGTAATATTTCTATGTTTTAAGTCTTAACCCCATGATAATGTCATATATTATCATTCTTCCTCTAGCTTCAGATATTTAGACGTACCTTCCGCTTTCGTTCCTGTTCGTGCTCCAGTTGTTTCAGGGCCTCCTGTAGGTCCTCCTCTGTAGCATTTTCAGCTTTGGCTGTAATGATATAACAGTGTTATATTTTGTACTTACATTGTATATTTTGTTCACTGATTTCATCAGTGCCTTATTTTCACATACATCCTGTAGAAAGATTCCCTTTATGAAACCGTAAACTTTTTAAAAAAAATCTTTTAAATACAGTTACACCGGTATTTGTATTTGTTTTCTTGCATGTTTATAATTAAATTTTGTAAGAATGGAATTTAGGGAGGAGAGTAATTTTATATGTTGAGTACACTGTACATTACAGGAATTTTTTTGGGGGGGGGGGGGGGGGGCATAAATATTCCCCTATGTTCTAATGCTTTCAAACAATTTATTTTATATCAATTAATATTTCCAATATTTTATACTGAACAGAGGTCACAGAAATAATCCCAATCTGATTTGTGTAATTATAAAAAAAACATATGTTTATATCAATTTTTCTGGTATAATTGTTTTAAATTATGTTTTTCAAGGAAAATTTTCTGTGATGATTTAATAATTAATATGTCGCATTCAAAACCAAAATTCAAATATATCCATCACAAAAAACCATTGAAATGAAGATAAAAAGGATAAATACATGTTGGATCTGTGCATTGATTAAAACATTTACTTTACTGATACAATGTAGCTATAATTATCAAAGATAGATGTAAATCAAAGATACCGCATCATGATGAAATTAAAATAAGCTCTTAAATAATCATTAGTACATGTAACATACATGTACATGCTTTTAAACATGTATGGTACAGCTCTTGCAAGCTAATTAATATGGTACAGCTCTTGCAAGCTAATTAATCGTTTTATTTATGATTATTTCAATGTATTAAAGAAGCAAATTGTACTCATGAATGGTTAAAAAGTAGATTCTGCAACTTGTACATGTGAATACATAAATCTGAGTGTCTAAAAAAAGCTAATTATAAATCATACACACAAATTTATTACAATAAATAGTTTCAAAATTTTACATTATATACATAACCATGATCGTCATTTTTATTTCAATGGACTGAATAGTATTCAAATAAATTTGGTGAACAGTGACATAGAAAAAAAGAAAAGTCAATTGATCATGAAGAGATGTTAAGTACTGTTGAACTGACCAAGCTTCTCAATAACAGTAAAAGCAATTAAATGTTAATATGCATATTTTTTTTCAGTAAATTTTAATATAAAAAATATTTAAAAAGATAGGAAATGAAAAATTAAACAGATATCAAAATTTTTAAAAATAAAAAAATAATATAGTAATTTGTCTAATACATTTAGGAGGAAGTAAACAAAGAAGTTTTAAATTTGAAGTGTTTGAATAAAAATTTAAAGAAATTTGATGCAAAAAAAAGCATTAAAAATATGAATACAGTTAAATATTCCTGTCAACTTCTACATAATGTATTGCATGTTTTTAATTCTCATTTAAGATAGTACATATTAAATTCTATTAAAAAGGAAGTTACGGTACACACCGTAAGTTCTAGAATTTGCCATGCACATAATTCATATAGTACATGTATAATAAAAAGCAAAATCCTTTCTTGTGAGTCAGGTGTGTATGTGGTAAACCTTAACTGAATAATGTGCAAAAATGCCAAACTTACTTTTCGTAACTGAAATAATGACAAAGCATAATAAGAAATTACTGGTAAAATTAAACACATGCAGTGTAACATTCTCTGCAAACAAAATACATGCATACATGTACAACAGAAAGAAATAACTGGTAAAATTATAAATTATGAAAATAATAGTTTTCTACAATATCAGGGTTGCCTTGAGGGGAGGGGGGGGGATTTCCCCAGTGGCACCTATACTGAAATAATTCCCTCAGTTATTCTGGCATTACCCCCTCAACCCTCACTACTACTTGGGGAGCAACCCAAGACATCCTTCAACTTTCATAATGTCCCTTTCTATTCCAATTTTTATGGACAACCCAGAAAATATTGTACACAGACTGAGTGTACTGAAAGATTGCAGATTTTTAATTTTTCTTTAAACTCCTAACATTTTTGGAACATTGGCATATAATGAAAAATTAATAAACAGTACTAAACATCAAGTAATATTACAGTATTTCACACATACTGGCTTAACTCTCATTCCTCTACCAAAACTAGCTGATTTGATATATATATACAGATACACACCATCACAGAACCTTAACCACAAACTTATCTGAGGTAAACAACATGACAAAAACCTACCCTCAGCAATAAGCTCCTCTCTTTCTTTCCTCATATTCTCCTCAATGTCCTCCATTGTTTTGTCCAGAACTTCTAGACTAACCTCCTCTCCTGCCAGATCCGCCCCTGATAACTGGAACAACATCCCTGTTAGGCTGTCGAACCATCCCTCACGTTTAGCTATACGCTGAACCCGCTTAACTTCCTGTAGGTCTTTGTCTTCCTAAAACATTAAAAACTTCATGTAGAAAGACTGCATATAAATGCCTTGAAAAGAAATAGTTAAAACTTTTTTTCAATTTTAAAATAATATTTTGGAGCTTCAAAATATATATACCTGCATATGAAAATTTACTTAGACTATTAATAAAAAATCTGTCATTTACTCAACAAAATATTTACCTTGGTATGTACTAGGAAAACACTTTAAAGTCTTTCATGAAGAGAATATTCTTTATTTTTCTGACATTAAGGTCAACATTACCATATCATGCAAGAGATTCTGAACAGTTGAATTTTCTGTTGTCTGTTTTTCTTGAAGGTCAGCCAGCAATGCAACACTCATGTCTTCTGCTCTCTCCTCGTCAGACATGTCTGGATTCTGGGCCTTGTGTGATTGCTCCTCCACTAAAAAAGAGTTCTAATCAACATCATCACATGTATATCAACATCAAGACAACTTCTTGGTTGCTTGCTTGCTTCTTCAATCTGATGTGGAAACATAATAGCATTTATCCTATTTCTTATCTTTTTTCCCTCAGGCCCACTGAGTTTGAGATAATGAGGTTTGACTGCAGTACAGCGTACTTACACAGAAGTTTATAGACCATGGCCTCTACCAAAATGGCCTGATGCTCATTCCTTCTCTGTGCTATTTCCTTGAACATCTTGCCTTTTTCTGCCTTGGACATTTTCCCTTCATCAACATGCAGGGCAGCAGACATCGAGTTCTGCTTCCAGTTTCTCTCATCTTTCTCAAGTTTCAGTAGCTGGGTTTTCATTTCCTGTTTCAGAATAAAAGTGCTCTAAACTATCTTGTAAGCAGATTTTTTTTAGCAAGTATTCAATTTTGGCATTAGCGAGAGTGTTGAGGTCGACAATACTGAATATCGCTAACAATTTATTCCGCATCAGAAGTAAGATTTATCTTTCATGGTATTATGAAATCCCTTAAATTTCTTCTCACTAAATGAAAATTAATATAAATATCGACTTTTTAGAACAATTTAAAACATTCATTAAAGGATCCTTTGTGCCTCACTAAAAACTTAAATATAAAATACAGTAAATTCATTTACCCACTTCAGACAAATTTGTAGATTACTGATTGGATAAAAGCTAATCACATGACGCCCTGAAATTTTCCGTATTACATCTCCGTCCAGGGTTAATATTAAAATCTGGCACGCGTTTCCGTTTGAAGCGTTGTTATGGTAAATAAAAATGGTGGCTAAGAAATGGTTTGTGTAGGTACACTGTAGTTAGGTTATTTTCTTGTTACTTGTTATATTTTCATTGATTTTTATTGGAAAAACATCACTTTGTACCTGTGTTGTCATCTTCTTGGCCTCCCTAATGATGCCAGCACTATTTCTGGATGTCTGAATGATATCCATTAAAACATTTCTCTCCTCCATTTGTCGCTGATCTAGTGTTTCCAAGATAGCTGTTTGCACAGCTGACCTCTCTGTATGAAGTGAAAATACCCATTTTATAACGGTATATATCAGCAATGTAATAAAATCTTATTTGAAATTATATGAATCACTGAGTAGTTAAAATTAAAACTAGTTTTCCTTGTGTGATTTTGCACAAAAGCACCATATTTGCAAGTTTGCTTACAATACCCCTTGATGGACATGTTTACAGTTTTTAACATCCCCCATCCCCCTTTTCCCAGGCCCTGGTTACAACTACTTTGTGGGATCATATAATATCCTCGGGGTTTTACATATTCCATAATACAACTTTAAATAACTTTTCACTGCTTAAATATCAGTACATGAGAATCACAGTATTTTCAAACTGATAGAAATGCATGATGATGAGTGGTATACATTTAAGAACTCACATTAATTCAAATCTATAGGTTTCTATGTACATGTATTTTTATAACAAACAGACCTTGAGAATTTGGTTGGACCATGTCCTCAAGTTGTTCCATCTCATCCTCTGCCCTCAACCTCTGCTCCTCACTGACCTCCTCTTTTTTCTGTTGTTGTTTCCTCTTTCTGGCCTCCAGCCTCTCTTTGGCTAAAGCCTTACTTCTCTCCCTTTGTTCTTTAATGCTGTAAAATAATCCTCATCAATACTGACTTTTTATTGCAGCCAAAATAATAATGAATAATAAAATTTAATGATAAATGAAATTTAATGAACACTGCTAAAAATCCAAAAAGTTCTACATCAGTAAAAATATATATTTCTAAAAATGACTTCTCATTTTCTAAGGACATATTTGAAATTAATAAAATCAGACTAATATCAAAGTAATTACAGTACTAAAGCAAAATTTTGTATGGCAGAGTGATCAGAAGGCTAATGAAGCTAAAAAAAAATATGGAGATAAGGAACAGTATTCAAGCTCATAGTCCACTTAAACAATACATGTACAAATTGGGAGCAGAGCAAACACGGACCTCCAAAAACATCAGAGGTGGGATCAGGTGCCATGGAGGAGTAAGCATCCCCTGTCGACCGGTCACACCAGCCGTATGCTCCATGTCAGTGTAATTTCTTAAACAGTATAATAAAACAACAAAGTGAAGATACAGTGATGTTGATCACTGTGTTTGTCTCACCTCTGTTTGTGTTTCTCCTCCCGTTCTCTAGCCTGACTGACGATGATGGCTGCCGATTCAAACTTCTCTTCTCGAGCCAGTTTCCTTCGTTCATGTTGTAGACGAGCTATGGCAAGCTGTCTTTCTCTCTCTTGATCTATTCTATTGTGCTGGCTCCTCAGGGCTTTCAGGAGTTTAGCCTTCTCATCTTCCAACATAATGTTCAAGTTCTCCAACACATTCTAATCAACAAAGAAGTATGTAATGAATGATTTAAGGCAAATGTCTACGGATAAAGCTTATGAAATAGATTGTTGAAAATGAAAATATTCAATGATAGGAACCAAAGGAAAATTAAATACGGTAATTAAGTGGAGTTTATATTTCAATTATTTCATCCCATTCACATTTTAACACTGAATGCATTACATTTATTTTCTTTCCATTTCATCAATCTTTAGTGCATAAGAACTCACAATTCTCCTCTGTTTTCCGTGCTCCTTTTTCTGCTCCTCGAGGATCTTGTTGATGGACTCCTCATCTGTAGGCAGTCCCTGTTCCTCCCTCTGTCTAATCAGCTCCTCTCTCCTCTTCTCTACATCCTTTTCATCTTCTGGTCCAAGAATCTGGTCCAACACTAGAAAGAAAAGTTAAGATTCCCTTATTATTTCACTCTTATTACATAGAATCATTTATTCCTAAAATAATTTGTATAATGTTACATGTTTGTATTGCTTCACTGACAATATCTATTTCTGATATGCAAAAAAATACTAAGTACTATTAAAGTGACTTCCTACAACAACCTGCTAAAACTAAGATTTCCAAAACAAATACACTCACAATTTTTCTTAAGTATTTCAGGTTATAATTGTCAAAAATAACCCAAACAATCTTTACTATCATGGTAAGAAATATGTGATCAAAAGAAAAAAAGAACAACAAAAGTTTGTTACATTCATCATTTTCCAGAACTTTTTCAAAGATGGCTGCAGCTTCCTCTACATTGCCTTCCTGTCGAAGTTTCCTCTCCTTCATTTTTAGTTCCACGATCTTTCTCTGTTTCTCGCTGTCAGACAGTTTGTTCCATTCATCCTCACCCATTTCTTCTTTCAATGCCTGTTTACAAATAATATCTGGGGTTTGTAACACTTTACCTTTGCAGGAATTTGAATTTTATCAATAAATATTGAATGATGGTAGGAAGACTTTTGAAAGCTAATTGTTTGAATTTAGACAGATGAAATAGGATGCTGATAAAAACAGGAACTAAAAGATAAAGTAACATTGTAAATTTACTTCGTTATCTCTTTGAAAATATACTTACTGCTTCTATGAGTTTATCCTTCAGGGCATCGTATTTCTGCTCTAATGCCTGTAGCAATTCCTCCTCTCCATCTTCAGATTTGTCTCCCTTTGATTGGTTTAGCAGGACATGTGACACATTGTCATGGAGACCCTCTTCTTCCACCATTGATTGCATTTTTACCATTTGCTGTAGTGTTCCAATATCCTATGACACAAAATAGAGAGATTTATTTTGATGTATGCAGTATGTGACAAAAAAAAACCTGCAATTGTGATGAAGTTGTTCATGGAGAAAACATTCTCCATTCCATTGTTCATGATTTTTTTAAATTAAAGATTGATTCTCCCCATTGAACACTTAAACAGTAAAGTTTTCGTTAAAAATTGGGTAAAATCCATATGTTATTATTGAAAAAAAAAGGGTAGATATATTAATAATTGTATACAGGTTAAATTTTGGCCCTCATTATAAAAATTTTTGCTCCTTTCGCCCCTAAATGTTGCAAGAGGGCAAATTTACAACAGAGTAAATTCAAGGAAGACAACATTATCTCTTAAAAACAACTGTGTTAGGATGACTTTAAGAAGGGGCAAAATTGTTTGTAAGTATAAGAGGGCAAAAATAACAAGGGGTGAAAATAATCCTGTATACAGTATATAATTGAACTTTATCTTAAACATTAGTATGCTGAATTCCAGGGATAGTGTATCTACAATTCTGACTATAATTTTTTTAATCTCGCATACTTTAACATCTCAAACAAATTTCTGCCAGTCTCCTAGTCTCAACGAGCTCAATATAAGTCTTATCTTCTCTCCTAGATTAGATAAAATCATCTAATAATCTCAATATAAATCCTACCTTCTCTTCTAGATTAGATAAAATCATGGATGCCTCTGCATCTTGCCACATCTGAAGGTTAGACAGGATGTAAACTTTGACCTCCTCTTCACTCTTAGTAAGCCCCTCCTCTTGCTGTTTATGAAATTCTGATTGGATCAAATAACATGCTGCCTCCTGAAAAATTGAAATTATTGCTAATAATAAATACGCAATGAATATATCATATCTGTCTTCTAAAAAATCTTGCTGTAAAAAAATGTCTTTATACATCATAAGCATACTGAGAAATTTAAAAAACATATTTTTTTGACATTAGTTACTGTATTACATATACAGAATATCAAAAATCAAGTCAATTAAGCTGACAAGATCTTCTGTAAAATAGCTTATCTCACAAAGCCATATACATTGCAAGAACATTTTCAATAAATAAAATGACACACACAGATTTTATTCCACTTACTTGCAGAATCTTCATCTGTTCCGCAGGATCCCTATTCTCTGACTGTCTCCAGTGTTTACGCAGTTCTGCCAGCTCATACAACTTGTCCTGTCTCTCTTCCTCAGTCATGCCCTCAGCTTTCTGCTTCATTTCGTTGGTTGAAGCTTCATCTAACAACTGTTTTAAAAAAATCAAAAATAATGACTGCTTGCATGCCTAGGAACTGCACTGTACATTTGCTAAATGCATATTTAAGCTTAGTTGTAGAATTAGGTCATTCAGGCCATTATTTAAACCATTTCTGGACATGTCACATGTAGCAAATACACGTAATAATTTCAAATAAGAAACATTCATTATGTTCACTGCTTCTCACTCTTTTTCAAAATCAGACAAATGAGTCAGATGCCATATATGTCATATATCTTTTTCTTTAAACCTGTATCAGAAGCTCCCTCTCATGTCTGTGCCGTCTGTCGACAGCCATGTTCAGTGATTCCTGTAACTCCACCCTATCATCCGTTTCATGGTTGATCGCCTCCTCCGGAGTTGTTTTTCCCTCCCTGCGTCTCCGTCGTGCTGCCTCGATCCTCTCCTTGGCTAGTCTTTGCTGTCTTAATTTCTCCTCTTCTGTGGCTTCTTGTTGCCTGGAAAAAAAATTAGGTCAAAGAAACCATGTGGCTTATATTTAGATTTCTTTAAAAAAACGCTTTGACATCATCATGAAAGAAAAACTTCAATAACAAAGAACTGATTGCAGTAAAAAAATAGATCTTTTTTGAAAACTTGTGCAACATTAATGGGTATCCTTTGTACATGAAACAAAATTTGATTATCAGCAAATCATCATGAAAGAAGTTCAATAACAAAGAACTTATTTGCAGTAAAATTAATCTTTTTTGGAAGTGCAATAATAATGGGTATCTTTTATAATAAAATTTGATTATCAGCAAATATTACTTTTTCTTGTTTTCCTCTGCTAACCCTAACACTAGAGCTGCTGAATCAAACTTGTCCTCATTCCGAGCCTTGCGTTCCTCTCGCTTTAATTTCAACAGCTGCAGTTGTCTGGCTTTCTCTTTTGCAAGTCTGTCATCTCCTTGACCAATCTGCCTTAACAATTCTTCTTTTTCCTACAATTAAATGACACAAAATCCTTAAATATACTCCATTCACGTGGGAAGTCTTCCAGCCAAGCTAGAACTGCACCAAAATTATATTTAATTTTACGCTAATACATGAAGTTTAAAAGTAAACTTATCTTTATTTCAAATTTTCAATATGTAAATTAAGATAAAATATTACATTATTCTCCAATGCCATTGCAGTCAAATACATTTTAGAAATTGTGACAGTGTTATACTATTCAATCCAGTACCTTTTCAAACCGATGTTCCAGATCCAGGAGGATGTTCCTCCTTTGTTTCCTCTCTTCCTCCTCTTCCTCTTCTATTTCCTTCCTCTCTAGCTCCTCACATTCCTCCTCAGACATTCCTGCATAAACAATTTACAAGTCACAATTTCTATATGTTTCACCATTTATAATGTATACAATCTTTGCAATTTTAGCAGGTAAGTCAGTAATTAATCCCTTAAGGTATGTCACTCGTGAAATTTGTTATATCAAGGATTTTTTGAGAAGTATATTTTGGATTAGTACTCGTATAGTACGACTCAAAATCGCAGAGAAAATGGGGGGTCAGTGTGCATCTAACTGAGCTACTGTACAATTAAGTTGACCTTTTTGCACTTAAATTGTAACTCTTTGGTTAATCACTTTAACCGTTATCATATTTTATCAGATGTAACCATAACAATAAACATAATCTTATTTTACGTAAAATAGTTTGAATAATATTTATCATTGAACAAATCATGCAAATTAATGCACGTAAATTATTGTGTGACCTTTTTGCACTAAAAAGTCTCATATTTGGGGTATTAAAAGTCTAAATAGACAATAGAATATTTTCTTGTATCAAACTTTTTACGACTTAAGTGCTGATTGGTCAAAAGTATCGAGTAGTTTAAAATAATGAAAGAAAGAGTTGGGGTCAGTGATGTAAATTTTGAAATATTGATCAAAATATGCGATTTTCTGGCAAAAAACTGTGTAAATTTTATCTCGATTTCCTTAATATATCTTCATTTCTTGGCAAAGTTTGTTGAGCGAAGGTGTAAATTTTGTTATAAAAAATTAATAAAAATTGAGACCTACATTTGATATTCCTAGCATATCATAACGGAAAATATTCTCTGAGTAAAAGTATGTGAGGCTAAAGTTCCAAGATATTAAATTTAATAAATGTGTAGATTTGCAGAATTTTCTGCTAAATATCCTTCCACCACAAGAAATATTCCCTTATAAATCTTGCTTCTTTATGAATTTTTGAGCAGTTTTTTGATTGAATGTTGAACATTTTACATTGTTTAATTTAAATATGTTATAAAGATTGAATTGTAATAAATAGTTTTTAAGTAAGAGGTTCTGACTGAAATTTTCTAAAACGCTGACAAGTGACATACCTTAATACAATTTTAAATCACAAAATTAAAGCAACCACAAATTCTGTAATTTTCAGACTGGATTGATACTTATTATTCTACGTAAATAGATCTTTATTTTTAATTTTTTTTCATGCTTACTTAGACAGAGCTATATCTACCTTGAGCCAGCCTCTTTTTCTTCCTCTCCAGCCTCTCTCTGAGTTTCCTCTGCTGCTCCTCTTTGTTTTCTCCCATCAGACGTTTCAATGTCTCCTGATTTTCCAGGGCATCTCCTATTTAAATAAATAAATAAACCATGCAGAACCTGAAGACATTATGATACCAACAGAGAGAAAGAAAATTAGTCTCTTTACAAAATCATACAAAGTAAAATTGTTTTGATCTATACTGTAATTAAAATAGATTTTACATGTACTTCTAAATCCAAATGATGTGAATATCAATGATTTGCCATTACCTAAAATCTGGGAGATTTCATCAAATTTCCCCTCTCTTCTAAGTTGCCTCTCTTTCAGTTTAAGCTCCATCATCTTCTTTTGTCTCTCCAAATCAGACAATCTTTGCCATTCAGATTCACCAAGCTTTCAATCAAGTGCAAAGAAAAAATTGTGATTCTATTCTGCATAATACATGTATATTCAAAATATCTGCAAATAACTAGAAACTACATGTATTTTTTAATAGGAAAATTGAGTTCAATGTACTAAACAACTTTTTTTAATAACTTCCTTAGGTACACACCTGCTTGATAAGAGCCTCTGCCAGTAATTTATCTCTCAGTGCGTCATATTTCCCTTCCAGGGCCTCCATTAAATCAGTATCAGTGCTGACCTCTAGGCACATTTCAGGGGAGAAAACTACGTATGCCACATTTTCTCTGCTATTCTGTTTGCGATCATTTATCTGTGCTAACTGCATCTTTTGTAACTCCTCATTTTCCTGTGATGATTTAGGAAAAGTATTTAATAAGTTAATTCCTACTCAAAGAAAAATATATGGAAAAGGCATACTCCTGCCTCATAATAGAAAATTTTGAAAATCTTTTGAAATGTGCACAAATTTATTTACTGTATGAAAAATCTAAATTAACATAATAAACTTGAAACATTTGTCTCAATCTGTTTCATCACAAACCATTGATATTTTATATCCAGATATTTTTCAAAAAGAGGAGAAAATGCACATTTGTTCAATTTTTACTATGTACACCTGGGGCAGATGTTGACCATTACAGAATATAATTCTTTCACTCATTATAAAGGTGTAGAAGATCTCATGACATTCACTATCTGGATCACATACTCAAAATTCTACAAGTTCAGAACTGGATAAAAACAAATACAATTGAACCTCAATATAAAAAACACTGATATTTCACATACATGTACATTTGTACCAAGAATATGTCACTTCAGTTAGAAGTCCGAACCATTTTTTCACCTCAAATTTTACTCTTAATATCTGGAACCCTTGTATATTTCAAAGTCTTTTTTCAATCTCAACAACTTAAAGTTACCAGGTGTTATCTTAAAAAGTAAATTAGGAAATCTGACCTTTGACATGAATTCCTGCAGCAGTCTCTCAGCTTCCCTGTTTTGTGTGAGAAATAATTCTGCCATCAGGGCTTCATGAATATCCTTATCAGTGGCTTCTGCCTTCTGATCACTGCTCATCCTCTGGCGACAAAGCTCACATTTAATCACCATACCCTTGTACAGAATACCATCATGCTCTTTTTGCTTCTCTGTAGAAAAAAATGAAGACTTTTATACAAACATCCCTCTTTTAGAGCACAATAGATGTCAATTTGATAATAAGCTAGGGCTTCAAAAAGATCCTTAACTAAGATTTCTTAAAACTAACTGAAGAAAATGAACTTCCTTCCTTCCCCCCCCCCCCCTTTTATGTTTTAATATATACCGGTATATACATTTATTTATTTCACCTCACAATGAAACCACTTCAATCTAATTTTAAATTAATCCAATTGTGCAATCTGATATATGTACATATTATTCAACTTTCCTATATTAATGAGCAACCCCCCCCCCCCCCCCTACATTATAGGGTTTGCTTGCTCGTACCCAAAACAGAACTTGACCTAGATATTCTTATGATAAATCTGCATACCAAATTTCAAAATTTCATTTCAGTATGTGCAACCTCTGCAAAGAAAATGAATGGAAACTGCAAATAATTGGAATTTTTCCAAGTCTAAGGGGCATAACTCTGTCAAAAATTGCTTGAGCGTGCCCAAAACATATTCTTATGATAAATCTGTTTACCAAATTTCATTTCAGTATGTGCAATCTCTGCAAAGAAAATGAAGGGAAGCAGTTGGTGGACCGACAGACAGCAGCAAAGCAATATGCCCTCCCTTCTTCAAAGGGGGGCACAAATATACATGTAATTAAATTTAAAAAAAACTTAATGTATCTCTTGTATGATAAAATCACAGAAATTCAGAATCACTGAAATGACTTTTTATGTGGTACTTGTATTTCAGTAACATATACCTATAGGAAGTGACTCTCGTTTTGACTGAAGCCTAGACAGCTGGTCCTTCCTCTGTTGCTGTGACATCATCATGACCTCCTGATGGAATTTCTGATCAACAGACATCTCAATAAGAAGCTTGAACTGATCTTGTTCAGTCTGATGCTTGAACTCCAGGAATTCAATGACTGCATTCTAAAACACAAAAACATGTTACATACATTAGGTGTATGTTTAATAACGTTCTTAAAATTCAAATTATTAATCATTCTAATTATGGTAACTTAATATCTAGAAAAGAGCAAAACAACAATAAAAGAAAAAATCCCCCAAAAATTCAAAGTAACAGCAAATTGAATAGAGTGCACTAACAATCAGACATTGGAATTTTTTGTCTAATTATCAATGACATTTTATACAATTAATCACAGTGACTATAGACTATCTAGACCACTTCTAGGACTCACCATTTGAGTGACAAGGTTTTGATCCCTTATGACTTGATCTTTAGATGTGATCTTCTTGTTTGCAGTTGTTAGTCTGTGTTTGGCAAGTCTTTCATATCTAGCCTTGTCTCCAACCATTCTACATGAAAATAAATTTCATAAAACTTTGGAAATAAAGCAATCTATACAGTTGAACTCTGATATCTCAAACATCGATATTTCAAATACCATGGATATTTCAAAGTAAGCTGGGCATTCCAACCACTTTTTTGTTTATGTATTATTATTTTACCCTCGATATCTCAAATCCTCAGATTTCTGGAAGTTTTTTTCGTGGTCCAATCAAGTTAGAGATAATAGGGTTTGATTGTATATGAGCAAAATACATGCACATAAAAAAGGAGAATTCTAAATAAATTGGAAAACTAAAACTGTGTTTGAGATAATGAGGTTTGACTGCATACAAGCAAAATACATTTTAACATTTAAAAAAACTATCAATAAAATGGAATACTAAAAATAAAGTTATAACAAATTCTACACATGCCATCTAGAAATTCTGCCCACAGTAATTATGGTACATGTGCTTGTTTGGAGATTTAAATAGGGAATCTTTCTCTTGAAATTTGATAAAAAGTACCTAGGTTTTCCATCCACCATCTGCCTTTCAGCCACTCCAACAAGTGTTGCTGAGATTGAGAATCTGTGATCATGACTACAGAGTAACGTTTCCCTGGCAATTCGCACAATACAAATTTGCTGTTCCCTTTCACTCATATATTCTTCCTGTAATCCTACAAAACATAATTAATTTTGAATATATATGACAGAATAAATGAAATTTAAAACAGCATGACAGTTTCTAAGTAATTCCTTAAGTTTATATCTGCACAAGGACCCTCCACAACCACCACCAAATATACACCCCAACTCTGTGTTCATAAAGTATATTTCTTAGACGTATAAATGATATATGCCATAAAAAAAAATCTGGACATCACTTACAGAATTGTCCTACATGTGAAAAATTGGGATGGAAAGGGGAAGTGTGGGGGGGGGGGGGGGATGTATGGTGGATAATTTCATAAACACCAGACACCAGACCTAAAATATGTATCACTGATTCTTAAGAGCATCAAAAGTTTTTTGTTGTTGTTGTTTCTTCTTTTTTTTTTGTTTCAATCAAAATATGAATTGAACTCTTTAGATGTTTAAATTCTTGTTATCATCAAGCATGCTATATCTTTGTTAACATATTATAAACACCTTTCAGTTTCTGAAGTAGATTCTTCTTCTCAGATTCAAACCTCAGCCATAAATTCAGAAGTGGATTCTTCATAATCTGTTCTTCCTCAGCTGGTTCTGAAATAAGGTCCTCTGCAAAAAATCAACAACAGATAATTAGTGTTGTAAATCTTCGTAAGTTCAATCAGAGTGTCCATATACTGTAAATCAGTTTGAAACATCTTTTCTTCTAAATTCATTGAATCCATTCAACATGATCAAGACTTTTTGTTTTTGTTTTTGTTTTGTGACTATAAGAAAACATTCTACATAAATACAAAATTTAATAAAATGATTCCATGCCAGATATTTTGTGAGTAAAATAGAGTTGAGAAACTTGCAGATATTTCCCATATGAAAATAAATTTGGTTTACAGTCACTGTACCAAAAAACCCATGTTAGAAAATAACAGAACACTTTACTTGAGCAAATGTTTGATGATACCTTCTGTGTGTCTTGCAAGTTCTAGGAAATGAAATCTAGGAATGCCAATAATGCTGATCAGTGTCTTGTCCAGATGGAAACCTTCCAGAACCTCAATCAAACCTACATTATTTCCTGAAACAACCATAAATTAAATCAATTACAGTAAAACATGCTTATGGAAAACACCCTTATAAAGAATTGATGCTTATAGCGAAATAATTTTCATTATCTGTGATTTTAAAATCTATTTGTAAGCTTCACAGTTATAATGAATTACGCTTGGCAAAATTGTCCATCCCTGGCACTTTGTTATAAGCGTGTTTAACTGTATTGATGAAAGGGAAATTTTTCTTAATGTGTCAAAATCTTAATAATTACTTTAAATGGATTTGCAAAGAAAATTGTGTGTGTGTAGGGTACATTGAAAATCGGGTGAACTCCATAAATTTGCCAAGCTACATGTACATGTACTGTATGTCACATTGCTGTTATATTTTTATTAATTATATACTCTAGGGGACCTACCCTCCTTCCTGAGGCTCTCCACTTTCTCGGTCAGTACTTGAATATGACTCTGTTTCTCCTTGTCCCCCATTTTGACCCAGACTGCCTCACCATGCTTGTGAACGAGGCAGTCTACCAAGATTTTTGTCTGAACACTTTCATATTTCTTTTGAAGTGCCTGTGGGATAAAACAAGAAAAAATTATTTATACTGAAAGTAATAAAAATATACAGTGCTACCTCGGTATATTGCCCTCCGTTATATTGCCACCCTCGTTTATTGCCAGGAATTCTCGAAGAACGGATTTCCCCTTGTGTTAATATACCCGTTATATTGCCATCCCTGCTTATTGCCATCCGCCACTGGTTTTGGGATACAAAAGGTCAAATTATATAAGGAAAAACCTCGATAACAAAGCCAATTATCTAGGTCAAATTTGGACAGCACACCCGTGCTTTGACAGTGGTTGCGGTGAAGTGTCACTGGCAAGACAAGGAATTGAGCTAAATTAAAAATTGTTAATAAAACTCAAAATTAGCACTGTCTTTGGCATGTTTTCATAAGATAGAAGAATTATTTCATCACAGTAATGGAAACATCAGGCAAGATAAAGAGTAAAAATATGGACTATGAGAAAAAAAAATGATTGATCAACATTCGATTTATTTGATTGTAAATCGCCGATTATTGCTTATCATGGATGCACCAAACCATAATAAATGCAAAAATTCATTTGTGTCCTCGTAGATTAAGAAGCCATTCTATCGATCAAAAGGAAACACCACCTCTATTTTAAGATCTATAATTCCGCATGTGAAAATATTAGGGATTCTGTTACCCCTGAAATTTTCATAAATTGTTGGGCACATATTGGGTTGATTGATAAATATCAAAACAGAATCGGAAGAGAAGTACACAGGTACTAGCAAACATAAGAATGCATGTTTATTACAACAGGTTGACGTATCCTGACATATGACTTACCATTCGTCAGTCATGACACTTTACCAACCCAACTTTATATTCTTGAGACGGTGAAAAAATCTCTTGATTCAGATGAAAATTATGATGAATCTCAAAAACTTTTTTATACCGAGAGGCTACAACGGCTACTGACATCTTTGTCATCGCGTTCTTAAATTCTTAGAGCATGACAAAAGAGCGAAGGAGCAGGAAATTGATAAGTGTTCATTATTCTGACATTTTATTTCTTTTCAATAAACACAGGTAATCAAAGATTACGAAGCTTACCTCAACGAATGTTATCCTTAAGAAAGGCAGATTTCACAGCATATTCTTTTTTTAGTTAGTGTACATCCCAAGATCAATATCCATGCAAGTTTGGCTTAAATACAACATTATAATTACTTGGAAATAGACCTCTTCAAAAAAGTTTATCCTGTTTACTAACCAAGAAAATTTTGGTCAGTTCCAACATCCAAAGTAAGTCTGGAAGTTTTCATCCTTAGATGCACCATCTATGCAACTTTAATCATAACCGGCCATAATGTTATATAGCTACTCCAAAAAAATTTTTCCTGGTCACTCATCTGCAAAATGTAGGTCAGATTCAGAATCCAAAGCAAGTCTGGAAGTGACCATCCCTACCTTCATCATCCATGCTAATTTGGTTAAAATATGGCTAAAATTCACTCATGTGCAAAATCTAGGTCGAATCCAGCATCCGAAGCAGGTTGGTCAGCTTACATCCCAAGATGCATCATCCTGCAAGTTTGGTCCAGGTAGGGCTTACAGTTACTTGGGAATGGACCTGCTCCAAAAACTTTAACCTGGTCACTCATCTGGAAAATCTAGGTCAGATCCAGCATCCAAAGCAAGTGTGGTAGTGTCCATCCTTAGATGCATCATCCATGCAAGTTTGTTCAAGGTAGGGCTAATATTTACTTGGGAATGGGCCTGCTCCAAAAACTTTAACCTGGTCACTCATCTGGAATATCATGGTCAGATCCAGCATCTGTAGCAAGTGTGGTAGTGTCCATCCTTAGATGCATCATCCATGCAAGTTTGGTCCAGGTAGGGCTTATAGTTACTTGGGAATGGACCTGCTCCAAAAACTTTAACCTGGTCACTCATCTGGAAAAACTAGGTCAGATCCAGCATTCGAAGCAAGTGTGGTAGTATCCATCCTTAGATGAATCATCCATGTAAGTTTGGTCAAGGTAGGGCTTATAGTTACTTGGGAATGGGCCTGCTCCAAAAACTTTAACCTGGTCACTCATCTGGAAAATCAAGGTCAGATCCAGCATCTGTAGCAAGTGTGGTAGTGTCCATCCTTAGATGCATCATCCATGCAAGTTTGGTCCAGGTAGGGCTTATAGTTACTTGGGAGTGGACCTGCTCCAAAAACTTTAACCTGGTCACTCAACTGGAAAATGTAGGTCAGATCCAGCATCTGAAGCAAGTGATGCATCATCCATGCAAGTTTGGTCCAGGTAGGGCTTATAGTTACTTGGAAATGGACTTGCTCCAAAACTTTAACCGGAACGCCGACACCGATGCCGGGGTATAGCATAAGCTCATCTTGACTTCATCGAGGTGAGCTAAAAGTATTGTAAACCAAAAAAATAATGACTTCTATTTCAAAAAGAAATGAGAACTGTCTTTATACATATGTGCACTAGCATGACATAAACAGATTGTAGCAGAACTAAATTACGTAAACTATTTATTTTGTTTTGATTACCCACTGAATTGCAATTTATGGCAGAATTCGTTATATTGCCACCCTCGCTTTAATGCCAAAATCTGTCTTTAGTTAGACAAAAGTTGGCAATATACCGAGGTAGATCTGTATACTCAATGTATAATTGCTGTTGGCAAAACACATACTCTTAGGGACATTCAAGCACTAAATATTCATCCCTCTTGAAAGGCCTTCTATTATTAACAGAAGAATGATAAATTGATGAAGTCACTTTGATAAGCTCTTGCACTTATCAGCACACAACGTCAATTTGATAAGCTCAACTTGAGAGTTCAAATGTAAGTTTATATACACAATGTCATGTTATAAGGTCTTCTTAATAAGCTCTTATAATAAATAAAATCATATACACAAGGTCACATTTACAAGATTGCTTTATAAGCTTGTAGCTCTTAAAGATAAGATATACAAGGCCATTTTCAAAGGCTCACCTTGATCACAAGTGTTTAAGACCACTGAGATAAAGCTTTACATATAAGATTAGTGCATACTAATGTCACTTATTATGCTAACCTTGATAAGTTCCTGTTCGTGAGTTTTACTTTCACTTTGGGTCAGCACAATGAACACATTGGGAACAGTTTTATTTGCTCTCTTGTTCTTCTCCTCAGTTCTCAAGTCTTGTAATTCATCTTCTTTCTACAAATTATAAAGACATCATATGCATATTCAATTACTGTAAATGTTTTCACTACTCACAATATCCATACACTGTACTACATGTACAATCATGTATTTATATACATTCAGAGTAATTGCTGTCAAATATCCATCTTGTTGGGTTCAGCAGGCTTGGAAAAAAAATATTTTCAAACAAGAAGTCTGTGAGCCAAAGCTCATTAATAATACCCCCGCTCTGATGTGAATACACAAGTTCATTTATGGACAGACACAGGGATAAACAAGAAGTTGATTTCAGATTCCTACACCATATGACATGCCTAAGCAAAGAGTGTGCTAAACTTTCAAGCATCTGTAATAAGTAGTTGCTGAAACAAAAAAAGTTATGTATGGTATGGACAGACACAGGGATAAACAGGAAGTTGACATCCAATTTGTACAAAAATGGATCCCATTATATGACATGCCTAAACAAAGAGTGTGCTAAAATCTCAAGCATCTGCGATCAGTAATTGCTGAGAAAATTGTGACCAAAATTTGTTATGGACAGACACACAAGGGTAAAACAGTATAACCCCCTCTCCTTCGGAGCAGGGGTATAATGATTAATTTTGGGGTTTTGACATTTCCATGTTGAATTTATATAAATTTGAATTGATCATTGAAAATGACTTTCTATAAGAGTCGAATATTTCAATTCATTTTTTTTCTTTGAAAATAAAATTAGGTAAATTTTTTTCCCTGTGTCCTACCAGATCCACGATGTTTTCCAGGATGCCAGCGATCTCCTTATCCTGCTCCTCCTGAAGCTCCTTCAGTATAGCGATGATAATGTCATCCTTACTGGGCTCCCTTCTCGTCTCCGCTTGGATCTCTCTCTTCTTACAAATGGCTCTTATAGCTACAGCTTCCTCCAAAATTGAGGTGTGTTCCTCTTGATCATCTGACAAAAGTATATGTAATTTCAATAAAGAAAGTGTACTGCACATAAAACAATTTAAGGTGCCCATGTGCCTTTATAGCTGCATTTATGCAAAGTATGAAGGACATGCAGTTTTTTCCCTTTGCCCTGAACTTGAAGCCTACAGCCAACTATCAAACTATTTATTTATATATTATTTAAGGAGCATACTACACATCCAAAAGACTAATAAATAGTGTTGTAAGTTGATCTTCTTTCACTTATGGCAAAAACATGTATTTGGTTATCATGTTTTTTAATCACACTAAATGAAAAATACACAGGATACACAATTAAGAAGAATTATGCCAAACTGCAATGGCACCACCCAGGAAATACATGTAAAAGTAATAAGTGCATTAATATGTGTTATCTTTTCTTTAAATACTTACCTTCATTTGATAGATCCAGCCGTCTGCGCTTGGCGTGAAGTTCAGCCAGACGTGACTTGGACTCCTGTTCAGTCATCATGGCTGCTGCCTCCTTCAGATCCTCCATGCTGTCGTCCTGTAAGAAGTGCAATAAATTCTCCCTCTCCTCTTCATGACGCACTAACACCTCCCTGAGGTAGGACAACTGCCATCCTGTTGTATCTCCTACATAGAAGTAGACGACAGTAAAAGACAAACATGTACTGTAAACCAACTTTTACTGGCTTGCGAGAAATATCCACGAGTTTCGCGACCTACTTTAACTCGCAAATAATAATCGCCATGAAACATTTATTTTGCTTTGTATTTGAAGAGAATGTTTCCTCAGTCGCGAAAATTAATCATTGCAGATTGATTTCAAACTGATGAATCGCGAATAAAATATGACGTGAATAATAGTTAGTTTACAGTATACGTACAGCAAACAATGCTATGATTACATATTCGGTTGAACTTCTGTATCTATAATACTGACATCTCAGAAACACAGACCGAGGAAACAAAGTGAGATAGAAGTCTCAAACACTTTACAGTCATGTTTTTAATCTCCGTTACCTTGAACCTTCAGATATCTGGAAATATTTTCTAGAAGTAGATCTTTACCGTGAGGAGGATCATGGGCCGTAATCAACCTTTTCTCGTATCCCTCGTTCTGCTGTAATCTCTGACCCCTCAGCTGTGTTCTCCTCTTGGCCAGATCTCTCTGTCGGACATTGTCTGTGGCATGTCTGGAATAATTCAATATCATCATGTACAGAAAGAATAAAGTTTTTTCCCCATCCTTTAAAGGCTTTGAAGTATACATGAACAGATAATATGTTCAACTCAATTAGATTCAATGCTTATTGCTTAAAGGATAAGAACTAAGAAATACTGTATGGATACCAATATTAATATTGTCTGAATTTTAATCAACTATTTTTCCACTGCCTAACTGCAGAAATTATTGTACATTTTAAACACAATTCATATCAATAATATTTCTGAAAAACATGATTTTGGTATCGTCGTTAAATTTCACCTTCCATGAAGACTGGCTAAAACCCTCTCGAGCAAGCCAACAAACATGGCTGCCACCTCAAAATCTTCCTCCATTTCAGCTGCACAGGATTCGAGCTTCAACTGAAGCATTTTGATTCGTTGTTGTTTGATGTTCAGTGATTTTGTCTGGGGACTGTTTAACCACATGACCAGGGCATCCAGCTCTTCATCATAGCGAGGAATCAAGTCAGCCAGGACATTTACTGGTTCAAAACTTCCCTTACTTATCTCATCTAATTATAAAGAAATCTTCACTTAGAAAATATCTTAAAGACCATGTCAAATCAATGTTACACACTTTCAACAATGTCTTTTGCAAGTCAATTTTTTTTTTACTTCATTGAAAGCATTTACATGTGAGTCTGAAAATGTATTAATAATCATTTTCATCATACCATGGACCTGTCCTGTTGCCTTTTGTTTCATGAACCTGACTTCAAATTCACCTCTTTCTTCTCCCATGAGCTTTCTTAGGGTAGGCAACATCTACAAAATCAGTTCTATATGAATCACCATTGCAATGTATATATATATATATTTTTACAAACCATCAGTCCCAATTCAATATAGCTTTCCTTTTTTCCTTGGTTTAATATTTGAGACCTTTAAGATCTAGCACACTTTACCTATCATTATTTTGGGGATCCTTGAGATCTGCCCCACATTACATTGGCTTTATGTGTGAGTCCTATGAGATCTATCATCTCCATCCCACTTTACCATGGCTTTATGTTTGAGTCCTATCAGATCCACCCATCTTTACCTTGGTTTTATGTGCGAGTTCTATGAGATTCACCTCACTTTACCTTGGCTTTATGTTTGAGTCCTATCAAATCTTATTAGATCCTCCCCTCTTTACCTTAGCTTTATGTTTGAGTCCTATCAGATCCTATTAGATCCTTCATCACTTTACCTTGGCTTTATGTTTGAGTCCTATCAGATCCACCCCATTTTATGTTGGCTTTATGTTTGAGTCCTATCAGATCCACCCCATTTTACCTTGACTTTATGTTTGAGTCCTATCAGATCCACCCCAATTTATGTTGGCTTTATGTTTGAATCCTATCAGATCCACCCCAATTTAAGTTGAACTTGGCTTCATGTTTGAGTTCTATTAGATCCACCCCACTTTACCTTGGCTTTATGTTTGAGTCCTATCAGATCCACTCCTTTTTACCTTGGCTTTATGTTTGAGTCCTATCAGATCCTCCCCTCTTTACCTTGGCTTCATGTTTGAGTCCTATTAGATCCACCCCTCTTTACCTTGGCTTCATGTTTGAGTCCTTTCAGATCCACCCCACTTTATCTTAGCTTTATGTTTGGGTCCTATCAGATCCTCCCCTCATTACCTTGGCTTTATTTGAGTCCTATCAGATCCACCCCACTCTACCTTAGCTTTATACTTGAGTTCTATGAGATCCATCCCACTTTACCTTGGTTTTATGTTTGAGTCCTATCAGATACATCCCACTTTACCTTGGTTTTATGTTTGAGTCCTATTAGATCCTCCCCCTTTACCTTAGCTTTATGTTTGAGTCCTATCAGATCCCCCATCTCTGCCACACTTCCTGTTCCTCTTAGCCTCTTTTCCTGTTTCCTTCTGTCTTTTAGCTCCTTCCTCCTCTCTTTTTCTGTCATTCTACAATTGAATTCAAAATTAACATGTGGCAATTTGAAGAAGTTGTACAAATACATATATGTGTTTGTAAATGGAGACATTCATTTGATTACGAAATTTTCCAGAATGTTTATTTACTACAGAGAGGGGCCAGTGAAAAAGAGAAAGCTAAAAAAACATACAATTGTGGAAATGTTTACGAGGGGAAAATTTTTGTAAATTCTGTGATTAGTAAAGTTTTGTAAAATTTATAACCACACGAACAGTTTCATCAGCCCACACCAATGATTTGTTCAATGGAAATTACAAAATTTTATCCTGTAAAAACATCCACATATATATATATATACCTCCTCCATTCTCCCTTCATTTCATCCCTGAGGCCCATGAGGAGGACCTTGTCCCTGAGGGCATCATATTTCTCCTCGAGGGCCTTGATGTATTCCTTGTCACCCTCACTGATCTCTATGGTTCCGAGGACCACAAAGGCCACATTATCAAAGTGCTCCTCAATCCTCTGTCTGTTGGTGGTGAATATCACTTTTGTAAGTTCATCTTTAGTCTGAAACAAGAGAATGCATACATTATGTATTTTGCCTGTGTTAAAAGGGTGAAATTTGTGATCAGACATTTAAGAAATGAATTTAGTTTTTGAAGATTCATGAGGACATGAACTACGACGCTTCACGCCGGCATATTTCATGAAGCGCGTTAGCGCTTCATGATAAATATGCCAGCGTGAAGCGTCGTAGTTCATATACCTCATGAATCTTCAAAAATTAAATTCATTTCTTATATTTACATTATTTTTCTGATGAGTTACCACAAATTTCACCATTCAACTGTCATTTTTAAAGCAAAACAGTTTGCACTATAGTTTTGACGTCAAGTACGGCATTATGACGTAACAATTGAGATATTCATGCTCATCCATGGTAGTTCATGAGAAAATGAACAGCATTCTAATTTGCAAAGAATATTAAGAAAAAATATTTGGAAATGTAAATATTGTCAGAAATTTTTACAAATCAAATTCAATACTGTTTGCACAAAATGTCAATATACATGTCCATGTTTTTAAAATAGTAAAGAGAATCACCTTCCCTTTCAAACCAAAACTCTTAAGAAGGGAAGGGGGTGTAAATACCTAGAGATTTATAAAATTCAAATATTATAACATGGATAAGAAAAATAAACAATCTTTTTTGTCCAACTTCCAAGTGCTCTTTCTACAAAATTAAACTGGTGATCCACATTAGTGTGCAATTAACCTTGTGAGAGATATCCTCCATGACGGTCTGGAATTCCCCTTCCTGCCTCTGTTGTAGGTCGGACAGGACCGCCTCGTTAGTGTCGTCCTCCGATACCTTGGCCTGCGTTTCCTGTAACTCTACTTTTCTATTCTCATAGTACAGGCCCATGCCTACATCAAAAAAAAATATAATGGTAAATCAGTTTTAAATGTGAGTACTATATTTTTGCATAAAAACATGAGATAGTCTGCTCATGAAAATTTTATTTGCATGTTTAATTCTACTAAAGATTTTATGAAGACAAAAACCAAAATTCGTGAAAATTTTGCATTGCTCATAATAAACAACAATCTCATGAAAATAAGGTGACACATAAATTTAGTGACCTACAGTACATGACTGAAATCAAGACATCAATTCATGACCTCTGGATTACTGAATGCAAACTTAAATAGTTAAAAAAAAAGAGATGCATGTAACTGTCAAAAGCAGTGCAGGTCTAAGAGTCCCTAACATTGAGACAAAGTAATTTTTATAACACACTTGAGTTAGTTTTGTTACATACATGTAGTAACACAGATTTCCACCACTAGGTAACTTTTTTGAGTTTTAGCAATTGACTAAACAGGCAAAGCTTTCTACCTATAGAAAAGAAATCAAATTTTATAGACAGCACTTGTGATCCTGATATGCTATTTGATTTTTTCTTTACCTTCCTGGAGTATGCCATGTAAGACTTCACTGTTGTCAGACTTGCTGTTTTTCCAGTTTGTGTGTCTGTTACGTAGAGTCTTCAGTAGTTTATTCCTCTCTCCGGCAGTTATTGATTTAGCCACAGCTTTACTGTTCTCGCTGTCTCGGCCTTGTAACATTTGTATGGCAGCCTGTTTAAAATGAAGAGAGGAAGAATTTTAATAAACAACATTTTATTATCATGATTATACTGGGTAAAGAGTAAAATAATGTACCCTAGAATAAAAATAATTTAAAGTGTGTGATATTTATTGCTGATTAATAAAAATGTATCTGTAACAATTATTTACATCTAATCTATTCATTGATTTGTAAAACTATAACAATTTTAGTACATCCATAGCAAAACACATTTATCCACTGAAGAATCAAGTTTGTTCAGTAGGTGCTAGAGATGTGTTACTGGAAAATGAAGACTAAATAGCAAATGCAAGGTCATGTACTGTACCTCTCTCTCATATTTGTGTTTTTCAACAAGCTCCACCACCAGCTTTTTCTGCAGATCCACCACTCCCATTTCCTCCATATGGTCAAGGTCACAATAGTTCTGGGGTGATTTGATTTGTTTTCTACCTTTCTTGGCCTGTAATCTCAGTTTAGCCAGGTTCTCACTGCGAAGTCTGTCCCAGTCTGTAAGCCTGTGCACATTATACAGTAGATATTTATCCACTTACCTGACTTAAGCTACAGTGGACATGTCTGTACAGTACAAAAAACAATAAACCTCTGGAAATAACCCCCATCATCCCAATCAACTACATGATCTTGTTTCCTGACTTTAGTTTTCATAATAATCTGCTACAACTGGTTAATATTTCATTATTTTGCAACTCTTGTTAAAAAAAACAACTTTGGCTATAAGCGGCCATTAAGCACCCAAAATTTGTAAATTTTTAATGCTCTTAATGAATTCTGAATCAGCAACCACAGTGGGCTTAATTTTGATTACCTGCTGGACTTGTAGCCTTGGGGTCTTTCGGCCAATCCTACTGCCAGGGCACATGGCTGGAATTCAGCTTCCTCTGTGATCAGTAGATGTTGCCTTGACAACTTGTTGGCTTCCATGGTGATTATCTTTATCTGACCTCCATTGTCCTTGATTATTGACAATACTGCTTCTTTCTCATCATGATATCTGGTGTTGATTTTCACCAAAGCAGCTCCACAGGTAGAATCACCTAAAATATTATTAGTGTATTCAAGTTGATATGTATGCATTCAAAAACATCTGAAGTAATAGGGACATGAATGGAAGAAAACAGTACATTGTTATTTTAAAGAGGTAAGAAAATAATACTCTTTGCTTTGTTCATATCTGTAAACAAAGTTTTATTTATTATTTTTTTAAATAACATGAGCAAATTATTTTTTTTTTAAAATGCTTCTTTTCAGCAATTGTTTTGAAAGAAAATGGAATCTAACCATCCAGGGAGTCCATGTATTCAGATATGATAATTTTCCCAATCTCATCACGGAAGCGGCCCTGCATCTCCAGTTCTTTGATGCGTCTTTCTGCTTCTTCCTTCTGCTTTTTATCAACAGTTCTGACATTTCCCATAATTCCTAGCAGGGTGTGGGGCAGTGGAATCCTGGACCCTGATAGGCTGTGAACCTCACTTTCAAGGGCTCCTGATCGACGGAGTTGTCTTTCCTTTTTACAGAGTTCTTGGTAGATTTCAGACTGATCCCCTTCAACAGCTATACAAAATAGGAAATACAATATATATATGTTACAGAGCTGATATAAGTATTGAATTAATGTAATTAAAGGTATGAGACTACATAAATAAACATAAGCCAGGTTAAAGATAAATGTTACAGTTTAGTACATGTATATTGATTTATACACATACTGCAGAACTTGTATTTTAATTTAAAAAATATTAATTTGATTTCTTTATTTGCAAGTAATTCAGCATCACATCTTTTGTCATATACTCCTGAGAAATCTAGACAGTGAAAAACTAAAACAGAAATTAATCATGCTTAACATATGTTTTTATTTCATTGCGAAAACTTGATTTACTAACCAGAGGAAAGACGAGCCATTTCCAATAATAGCTTCTCCCTTAGAAGTTCATATTTAGTCTCCATATCATCCATAATGTCATTTATGGTCACATGATCTTTTGATGCATCCTGGGATTCCAGATCTTCCACCTCCAAACCATCATCAAACAACATGGCTTCTAATCCCTGCTTCTTCCACCTATAGTTAAAAGGAACAATGTCATATATTTAATCCCAAACAAATACAGTATAAGTGTACTAAGTAACTGTATACAATTGTTATTAAAAGTGATTGAGAATTTCAGTTTAAGGACCTTACTTGTTCATCCTCCTTTTCATGTGATGCTGCATCTCATCCTGGTATTCTTGGAATTCAGTTCCATCATCCTAATGAAATAAGAAAATGTTACCTATTAGCGATCATATTTTGATACACTGGTATAACAATGGACATAAATTCTAATAAATGAACAAAAGTTTAAATGAAGTAAATCTGCTTAAGAATTCTTAATCGCAAAGAGAGATAACAAGTTATAAAGCAATGACATTGCTTCGATCCTTTATAAAATTTTCATCTACAACCATGAAACATCTCAAATTTTGTTCCATGTGGAATACATTACTTCATTTCCTGGAATTTCATTTTTATTTACATCTTCTGCTAAAAAATTGTGAACACAAAAATTTTCCTTAAATAAAGAGAAGCTCATTTTATTTTAACATCAGGAATATTATGACATACAAGCAGTCATACAGCAAGAGAAAAAACTTTAGATAAATCAAAGGAATGCAATCATGTCTAGACCCATCATTCTTACCTGGGCCCATCATTCTTACCTGCAATATTTTATATGCATTGTAGCCATCTAGGTCGTGTTGACCTTGGATCCGTTCTAATCGAGCCTCTTCTTTGGTAATCTGTTCCAGTGTGGCTGGTTCACCCTGCGGATAATCACACAACCAGAACCGAATCTCATCAAAGTAAACATCAGCACCGGGGGCCGCTCTGGAATCCAGAAACTGGTGCCAAGTGTACATAGAAAACCTGTCAAAAAAAAAAAGATATCGTCTTTCTGTATTACTTTGTAAAACTTTGTAAAATTACCTACTGACAGTATTTTTTATTTAAAATAGGTATTTTATGTAAACATATTTCATATGTTTTACTTAAATTTTGAGGTGTGAAGAGACAATTGAGATTCATAACCTAAGATGGATAATATCTGACACATATTTTCAAATTGCGTATGATTCTGCTATGCCTTTGTCTAGAAAGTCTTGAATTCATGTTAAATTTTAATCTCTTTCAAATTTTATACATTTGGTAAAATTCCTGAAGTTAAATCATTATTGCATGTCTACAGATCTAGAAGTATGTGTTTTCAAACAAGTCAGAAACTATAATGTAAGATTTTACTACTTCATGTATGTATGGGTAATGCATTTGAAAATAGACACATAAATTTGAAATGAACTAATTATTAGTATGTGCTACCTTTCTTGGTGGAATTCTCGAAACAGTAGCAGGGCATCTTTAAGACAAATTCTGTTTGTTCCATTGTAATCCAATGCCTGGAAGTCCCAATATGATTGTTCTTCTATAGACTGTCGACGTTGTAGTTCTTCCAACACCTCAATGAAATGTGATCTAAAATAGAGTTTTTAAATCACATACATGTACACAAACCTTATTTGTTTATCATGTGTTTATCATGCTTATAGCTTTTTATCCATTGGTGTATTTCAAATATTTTAAAAATTCTGTCCATTTCACTGATCTAGAAACAAAATTATTAATATTTACTTAAGTATACTTTGATACATATGTACATAATGATAAAAATCTTATACTTCAGGTACAATTTTTTAATATGCTATTCAATGAAAATTAGCATAAAAATACATTCTGTCAATCACACTACCTTAATTTGTATAAATTATAAGCCTGATACATGTAACTGTCTTCCGTTATAAAAATCTTCATTTATGAAAATATTTCAGTGCTTGGGAGAATTCATTTTTATCATAATGACTTTTTAAAAAGATAAAACATAACAACTAACCTGTCAACAGTACCCGGTGTTCCACACACCCTCTGTATGGCTCCATCAACATGTTCCACAGCCACGGGAGCAAAATAAATGGATTGGTGAAAATCCAGTATCTGCTCTGTTGTCACAAAACCCTTACATGCTGTGTCCAAGTTGTTAAAAAGAGCTGTAAAGTCTTGGATGCCCATGTTCTGTGCTTTTTCTGAGGGGCTTTAGTCAATTTCTTTTTAGATTGCATATGCTGGCTATTGCATAAAGAGATAAACTATTATATAGTCACAGTGACAGTTATAAGGGAATATATACGGAATGCAGTAAATGCAGTTTTCATATTTTTTCAAGTCAATATAATATTGCACAGTGTATAAGCTACATTTATTTTATCTCTTTAGAGAAGTAGATATGCTTTCACTTATATCTACAAACAGATGTAAGCCAAAGCATATCTACTCTTCTAAAGAGAAAGCATATCTACTTCTCTAAAGAGAATACATATATACATGTATATAACACATATTTATAACATGTATTTATGAATGAAGCTTAGTATCCTTTTGTGCCCATATTTCGACAGTCTATCAAGAAGTGTGAATTTTATATATCAAATAAACAATTATCCATGAAAATAAGTTGTTCTTAAAATACTTCATATTCAAAGGGAAATATTTTCTACATAGTGATTCAACTCATTACTTTTATCTGTTACCATATGTGATGCATTTAAAAAATGACATATAAACAATGGGCACCACCATACTGAGTCCTAATTTCAATGGTTACGCCATCGATCGATATGCAAGGCCAAACAAAACAAATTTTTAGTATAGATGTTAAAGTTATTAAATTTGTAACAGTTGCAATTTAATCTGAAATTAATTCTATAAAAGGTAAAATTAGCATTTGATTGGCTAAATGTCATTCGTCAATACAATGGTGGCACCAGGGACCTATATTATAATACATGTACTAGCATATAGGTCCTTGATGGCACATTGTACTGCCTTACTGAATATGTCTATTTTTCATTTTGTTTTAATTAATAAGTAGGCATAGGGAGGGCAGTTGGTGAATACAACCTGTAATTGGATAACTTCTTTTAAGATAACAAATGCAAGCCCTCAAATTATGCCATTATTTTCTTCAGATCTTGACAAATTCTTGTTTTATATATATGCATTAAACTCAAAATAAAATTGACTTGGTTTGTTTTTCCAAAACATGAATGTGTAAGTTTCATCAATGAATCTTCAGTCTATGCAGATGACATGTTGTCCAATTATGTGTTGCAATTAGCTTTTACGTATAATATGATTCCAAAAATATAACCGGTACATAGAAAATTTTGATTTCATGTGAGTGATGCGTTTTGAAGTCTTCTGCAGTACATTCTGTTTACAAAGATGAGTCTACTCTTGCGAGATCGAAGTAGATATCAACAAAATAACGAAACCGTCGAAATTTGGACCCTGTTGATTTTACATGTGTAGGACCTTCGACCATACTTTCAGGGAAGCTGAAACACCTACAGTTAGCAACCAGTTCATTATGTTGCACTTAAACAGTTAGGAGATTAATTTTTCCTTACATTTTTTCACAATCATTGCTGTTTGCAGAAAAAAAGAAGTGAATGTAATATCATTCTGACTCTCAGATAAAAAGTTCTTCACAAAATCTATCCTCTCTTCGAAACTTTGCAATATACAATACACAGAGTGATATTTGTCGATTTTGGCACCAATATGTTCGTCAAAATTTAAAAAAACATTAATCAGTAATAAATCTCAAACCTTCCTATCATTGAAAAATCATTTTTCTTCTTGCAAAATTTTCTTCCTCCATGTTGTTTACATACACCAAGACATTAAGTGACGAAATGAAAACTTAGCCAATCATTTTCATTGTTACAAACAAGCACTTTTCAAACAACTCGTACATTGAAACACTCGAATACGATACGCATTGTCTAGAAATAAGGAAGTTTTATTTTATCATGCCCCCGTAATCGAAGATTCGGGGCATATAGTTTATCCCTGTCCATCCGTCTGTCTGTCTAGCTGCTTGTTTGTCCGCAAAAACTTTAACCTTGCTCAGAACTTTTGATTGGTTAGAGCTTTAGCTTTCATATTTCACAAGTGTATTCCTTGTGACAAGTACTTTCTTTGGGTACCATTAAATTTGACCTTTTGACCTTGACCTTAGAGTTTGAAACACTTTTGCGAAAATTTTATCAGACTTTAATCTTGGCCATAACTTTTGAACAGTTGGTGCTAGTGCTTTCAAACTTCACTTGTGCATTCCTTGTGACAAGACCTTTCTTCAGATACAAACAATTTTGAACGTTTGACCTTGACCTTAGCGTTGACCTACTTTGAAAAATCTTTAACCTTGGCCATAACTCCAGAACAGTTGGTGCTAGGGCTTTCATACTTAACATGTATATATTCCTTGTGACACTTGAAGACCTCCCTTTGGATATAAACAATTTTGGCCCATTGACCTTGACCTTGGAGTTTGACCTACTTTTGAAAAAAAACTTTAACATTGGCCGTAACTTTTGAACAGTTGGTGCTAGGGCTTTCATACTTCACATGTGTATTCCTTGTGACAAGACATTCCTTTGGACACCAACAATTTTGACCCATTGACCTTGACCTGCCTTAAAGAAAAATCAACCATGGCCATAACATTTGAACATCTGGTTCTAGGGCTTTTATATTTTATGTACATGTGTATAACTTGTGACAAGACCTTCCGTTGGGCGCCATTTGACCTTTACCTTGATTTTTACTTACTTTTGAAAAAATTTAATCTTCGCCTTAACTTTTCAACGCTTGGTGTTAGGGCTTTCTTATTTTACAGGTATATTCCTCGAGACAAGACCTTTCTTTGGGTACCAACATTTTTAATCTTTTGTCCTGGAGTTTGACTTGCATTTGAGAAACTTAAATTTAACCTTCGATATAAGCTGCCATAAGGGAGCATCAGTGTTTCACAAACACATCTTGTATTTTTTTTTTCACAAAATTGAAATGATAGTTTTTAGGTAGACAATATATGTTAAACAAGCCTGTAAGAATGGGGTTGGAGGAATGATCATGCCCCTCCCCTAAGTACTTTACTATTAGTATTATAACTATCATTACATACATGTATTTCGCATCAAAATAAGTATTTGCACATACGTGTTCTACAGGTATTCGTCAGCAGCTGCTTTAGGATATTCACACTATATGTATGGGTAAAAACGTTCTAATTGGATTCCGTTTTGCATGCCTCGTTTCGGCAATTTTATTTTTCGACTGAACTATTGGGTTTAAAGTTTTTAAGATTAAAAAGAATCATGCAGATTTCATTCGTGACATATATACATGCAGTCACTGAAATAAATTTTGAAAACATTACATGTGTAATGAATAATTTTGTAATGTAACCAACTACTGCAGTAAAACCCTTCTCTGGTTAAAATGAGAGATTTACCAACCAACTTTTTTTTACCTAATAGATGGTTAGCACTAAATGATTGATTGTATATTGCTTAACGCCGATCGCTAATCTGCAGTAATTCAGCCATATTTCGACGGTAAGACTTATTTCTGATGACCTTTTTTTTTTTTTTTATTTTTTTTTTTTTTATTTTTTTTTTTAAGTTTTTGGGTTTCTCTGGCGATCCTTCTCTTTTTAAAACCAGAGAAACAATCTTTTGCATACCAAGGGGGTTGAAACATTTCGTAAAGTTTAAGTTTATTACAAGTTTAGGGACCCGTTTTTACATGATTTGGTCTGTCGTATTTTTTTCCTTCCTGTTACAGTATATTCGGTTTAATTTTTTATTTTCCAATTCTGTATAATTTATATTCTGTTTCAAGATATGAATTTAACTAATTTGCTCTTTGCTAAATAATCACACTTGAATTTCTTTTGTTCAGAAACAGTCCATGCAGTTTTGAAGGATATCAGTACTGAGACAGTCTGATATTACGATTAGGACTTCCAAAGGTAAATTTTTAGACTGCAAGAACAAAGGAATGGCATCACAGCAATGTTTTAAGTAATGGATATATGCTGAATAAAGTTCTGTATGAAAAAAAATATCAGACTGTTTATGGCCTGTTAGGGCCGAAAACTGTCTGATATTTTTTCATAAAGAATTGTAGAAAGGCATATATCATACTTAAAACATTGCTTTTAAAAATTCCACTTTTTGATTTACCTGAGACTGTGAGACAGTCCGATATTTTAACAAAAGACAAAAATGTTAATGACCAATTGAAGCAATTCTTTCAAGAATGCATGCTAACGCTTAAGTAAAAACTACTTGAGTATATTTTTGATCAGCTACATTGTACACCATTGTGGGTATTTGAAGTAATATTATATTTCTTTGGAATGGAGAGAAGGGCTAAAATATCCTTAATTATACACGAATATTTAGCTTAAAGCAATGCATTGGATTATGATATAGACAGTCTAGTGAATATTTCTGGAAATGGAAAGGACATGCAGATTGTAACTTTGACTTGAATTGAACAAACACAGAAAATAAAGCAGATGCTGAAGGTATATTAATTTCTAATTACCAACATTAAGAATAACTTCATAAAGGATTGCATGTGTAATGGATAATTTTTTAATGTAACCAGAACTCTTCTATGATTACAAATGACAGATTTACCAACCAAATCAGCTTTAGAAATATTCAGTGGTTTCAACCCAGAATAAGCATGAAAAGAGAATTTCCAAATTTTGAATGCTAAATGAAAACATTATATGTTCTTTGAATTGGAAGTCATTTTTTTTATTTTTCAATTCTGTATGATCAGAAAATAATAATAATCAATTTACATGCACTTAATTAAGATAAAACACTACTGTTTGCTAAATAATCACATTTTCATTTCTTTAGTATAACAGTCCAATTTTAAGGATATCAGTACTGAGAGAGTCTGATATTACGATTAATACCAGACTGCTCACTAATATCTGACTGCTGTGATGTCATATCACAGCAATGTTTTAAAAGTACGTTTACTTAAAACATTGCTGTGATGTCATTTCTTAGTCCGATATTAGTGAGCAGTCTGATATTAATCGTAATATCAGACTGTCTTGAGCAGTACTGATACATGTATCCTTCAAAATTGGACTGTTACTGAACAAAAGAAATTAAAATGTGATTATTTAGCAAACAGCAAAATTTAGTTTAAATTTTGCATTTACCTCCCCCTAGTAAATTCAAAATTTACAACATGATAGTCGGAAACCCACGGCTGATAATGCTTCGTTCCTCTCTCCAGCAGCTATGGGTTTCCGACGATGAGGTAAATCAAAAAGTGTCATTTTAAAAGCAATGTTTATAACAATATCCTATGTATTTACATGTATTTATAAAAAAAAATGTTCAAATGTAAATACGAGAATATGCTCAAAAGGAAATAAGAATTGGAAATTCTTTCAAAGTTTTCCAAAAAATTTATGTTTGATTTTATTAAAAATTTTGCTTTAACACGAACATAGACGCATATACATGCATGAAGTACATGGATTTTTTTCTTCTTTTTTACCGTACTTTATAGAGCTATGTGTGACAAATAACGGGCAAATATTCGATTCATTATTTCAGTAAAAGTTAGCATGTAATCTAAGTATAATTATGTCAAGAAAATTTTGCTGCATTGTCATCTCTCTCTCTCTCTCTCTCTCTCTCTCTCTCGTAAAATCAATTAGTTAAAAGAAAGATTATTTTGATTTCAAGTTGGTAACTTATTGTACAGTGAAACTTGTCTAATCTAGATGTTGTGTATTCTGAAATCTTGCATTGAATACAATGTAAACTTAGGTCGATTTTAATAAATTCAATTGTTTTATACCTATTGTCTAATCCGAAACATTGTCTTATCCGGCCAATTTCTTTGAAGACAAGTGGTGTCCTGATTAGACAAATTTTACTGTGTTTGTGATTCTTTATCAGTGGACTCTTTGCATGTATACTCATGTTGGATTGTTTTCATGATTCCCTGTATTCTCATCAGTGTAGCCGTTTGTATTTCATTAGTACACGCATTTTCTCTGAGAGATTGTTGGTATGAGTAAAGAGAGGAATGTATATCCCCTGAAATCTGTTGACAGATTCCTAGGATCTCCCATGATATGTTTCTTAACTTTTTAGGAATATATACCCCCTCGTCAAAGTGGAGTAAATAATGTAGTTTATTTAGAGCTCTTCGTGCTCGTATTTTATCAGTATTGATGGAGGACAACATCTCTAACATGAATAACAATGTATATAATGGAATACCTAAATGGCTATGTATAGTTATATTCCTTAATGCAGACTGTTCTGGTACTAATTCATTCATGTAACAAATGTCAGTTCTAAGTTCGATGTCCTCTGCTCTAGACTGCCTTCGTTTTGTTGACAAAGAATGTCCCCCTAAGACATCACAATATCTTCCCCCAGATGTAAAAATAAATTTGTTATATGTCAGTTGAGGCTGTCCTAATTTGATTTTTGTCATTTCTATAAAAGGTAGAGCTTTCGTGTATCTGAATGTCTGACAATAATACATGGCTATAAACAACATGTCAGAAACACATCCAAAATAGGCTGCTAGTTTTAGCATGTGACGGGCCATTTTGTCATCTCTATATGTCAGTTTATTGGCATTTAATTTAGTGTACCTTTTTGAAAATAAAAAAGCAGTTGTTTGGTTTAGATAATGCTGTGATTTTCTGTAACAGGACAACTTGATACTCTGTCAGAGGTGAACTTATCAAATCCTCTACCGCATGTAAATGGTTAATGCAAGAATGTAGTTTCGATGAGAGCCGAATATCACATACACATATCTCTGAGAAAAAATTTATATCATGTTCAACCTGACTGAAGAGATTGTTTTCATCTGTACAGATAGACTGTCTAGGATTATTGAGGGCATTTATGATATAGCGCCTGATGGAGGACAGAGAAATAGACATGCTAATCCCTTCTTATATAATCCATACAATCTGCAGAATAAGATCTTTTGTGCTTGACCATGGATATTAACCAGAAACATATTGTTTTCTGGAATGAAAAAATTAGGACAGACGCCCTCATACACCCACTTCAGAAGAAATTTGAAGCAGACCCAGAAACATTCCAAAATATTTTGTGGACACCAGCGCGATATTGTGTTTTGTTGAATTGCCCAGAAAACTGCTGTCTTCATGTGATAGGAACACAGTAATTTATCATGGTTATCAGAATCATTGTTAATTATTTCTTTGAGAAAAATTTTAAGCAAACCGTAGGTTAAAAATTGACTATGGTTCATAGAATACACAATTTTTTGTTCTGCTTGAGAAAAAGAAATTCTCCATTCATTATCTGCATGATTTCCCAATTTGTGTCCTATAGCTACAATGTGACATCCATTTCTGACTATATCATGAACAAGTTGAGCATCGGGCCAAGAGTGACATCTGTCTATCCATAAGGAGGCAGATGGAGGCCAAAAATCGCACTGAAGGCAGTAGGCATAATCAAATTCTCTGTGTTCTATAAAGAAATGTTCACAAGGTCCATGTTCAGTGGCATTTGGACCGCAATGTTCTCGTCTGTATTTGGAACTGGAAACATAAAATTTGTCGTTCATTCTTACGATGGATGGCAGGGTTTTTTCATGGTTTGTGAGTATCAACTCAAGTAAAGTGAACCCAGGAGGACTTTCAGAACAGTCACACAAAATAATTTTTCCTTTTGTATTTGGATTCTGAGCCTGATCTAAGTTCCAGATCACTTGAAAGCCGTTTGGCCAGACCATGAAGTCTACATCCGATCCCGCCATCCTAAATCCTTCTCGTCGACTTCCACTATACATTACATTGCCTTCCCCAGTTAGACGCATATACAATTGTTTGAATTCTACTACTTCTCTTCTTATGTTGACCTGTATAGAAGACCCCACTTTACGACATAGTCCAGCAAACACAGACTCTGACATACGCTGTATACCTGACTCGCTGGCAGAAATACATCAGAAAGTGATTAATTGATAAATTTAGCTTAAATATCATAAATTTTCGTCATTCAATTCAATTCAATAAAATTTCCCAACCTACATACATCTTTTTTTTTTAATTTAAAGAAATGGAATTATATAGCAACACAGATGTATACTTTAGACTATTGCTTCAGCCTTTGCTTGAACATACAACTTAAAATTTAATTAGTTTCATGCATATTGAGTATGAATTAAAATGATCGATTTTTAAGTCTGCTATCTGATTAATTTGATATTTTCTTAAATCAAATTGAGATTTATACTTACACAAGTGATAAAGAAGAGGAAGCCATTTCTATATAAGAAAAAAGTATTCATTTAATTCCAATTCAAAGATAAAATAAAAATTTCAGCAGTCAATGCTTTTATATCCCAAAGTCTCAGGAAGGAATATGGAAGCAACAGGAAGAAACCCTTTCAATTTTTTTTTTTAAAAATATCTACTGTTTTGTGAAATCATGAACGTGTATATTTCTACAAATAATGCATGGTGCAGCTGAAGTACAATACAAGAAAAAGGGCAAAATTGCACTATACAGAAGAAAACTCCATCCTATGAGCTATATCCACTGTGCAAAGGAGTTAAAAGGCATTATAGCGCGAAATGGAACTGGTAAAAATGTAATTACGCAAAAAAGGCGTATTGCATTTTCACTATATAATCAATAGAGCCCTGGCCTATAACGCCAGAACTTCTGACCAAGGATCAGGAGCTCATCTGCACATCATAACTTTATTTGCATTTACCTTGCATTACCCAGGAGCACAGAAGAAGATTTTCAAAGCATTCATTTTCACAATATAATCAATACATGTAGAGACCCCCTACCAACTGAACCCCTGATCCTGGGGTCACACATTTCACAATATTAGAAGGGCATCCTTGCCTACCATAACTATGCATTTACTTTGTTTGCTAAATACCCAGAAAGCGAGAAGTTTTTCAGATCAGCATCAATGCATTTTCACTTTATAATTAATAGAGCCCCTTCCATTACACCAGAACCTCTGACCAAGGGGCTATGAAATTCACAATTTAGGATCATGCAGGCACCCTTGCTCATAATAACTTCGCATTTAGTTTGTTTGCTGAACAACCAGAGGCAATGGTGAAGATTTTCAAAGCATTAATTCTTTTTCATTATATAATGAATAGAGCCCCCACCCCCAAAGAACCCCTTACCGTGAGGCAACACATTTCACAGTTTTGGAATACGGAACCATTGCTCTTAGTTCATCATTTAAAATACGCAGGAGCAGGGAAGAAATTCTTCAAAGCATTAATGTATTTTCAGTTTTTCACTATATAATCAATTGAGCCCCACCCTAACATCAGACCCTCTGACTCAGGGGCCATGAAATTCAAATTCATATTTTTTAAAGAAGCACCCATGCTCATCTGGATTATGTATTTAGTCTGTTTGCTTAATATCCAACAGCACAGAAAAAGATTTTCAAAGAATTAATGCATTTCCACTAAAGAGACCTGTGCCCTTACACCAGAACTTCTGACCCAATGGTCAGGAAAATCAAAATTTTGGAATAGACACACTTAACATCACTTAACAAAACTTAACATCAGCTACATGGATGAATGACAACAGAAGTAGTAACAGAAAATTCTGGATTTTAAAAATGAGACGCTTCATACGGGAACCTCATTTTTTATGATATGCAGACTGCATGCTATAGGGACCTTCAGCCGTACTGAACCAATACAAACACAAAAAGGTCTATATTATCCACAGGTCCTCGTCCATTTTGACAAGTAAGTGTGTGCACCCGACGGTCTTGAAGATGTATCCCTGCAGATCCTAGGGATCTGTCAACAAGATACACTGTGCGCTATTGCTATACCAACAATGAAATCATGTTACATTAAGAATGTCCAGTTTAACATGCTGCCTTCTATAAAAGGGACAAAATAACTTTGTCTGCATTAATGTATAGTGTAAGTGTAAAAAAGGCTTCGTTTTTTTTCACACCAGTCAGCTACTAAATGAAAAAGTTATTTTTAAAGACCCATTAATTTTTTTTACCGTACGGTTACCTGAGAAGAGGGAGTGGTCTTATTAATACATATGTTATTTAACTGGAGTGCTCTAATACTCAAGATGCCAAAGATTCATATACACATCATAGGCGTCGGAACCGGGGGGGGGGGGGCTAGGGGGGCTTAGCCCCCCACTTTTTTTTTCAAAGATATAGACAAAATATAGGCATTGAAAACTGAGGCTTACTGTTTTCCGTTGGTTTAGCTCCCCCCCCCCCCCTACTTTCAATTAGCCACCCCACTTTCAATTTGCTTCCGACGCCTATGCACATTGCATTATACAGGAAGCCTAGCTTTATGTTGATCATGGTCAACATTACACACGTTTCTTGTCTAATTCTGAGTGAAACAGTGGTGAAACCAAATAATACTTTTGCATAAAAATTGATAATCTCAACATTTTCGTCGATATTTTTTGATTAAAAAAAAAAAAACATGCATAAAGAATTATCCTTTTTAAAAAAATTATATAAGAAATTTTCGAGTTTAATTAAGCTACAAAGCAACATCATATCAACGACTTTTTTATTTGTCAGTAAAAAATAATCACAAGGTAAATTGTACGTGTAAATATTGAAAAAAGCTCCATTTCTCTTGAGTACATTAACCATCTAGAAATTATTAATTTCCCTGGCCGATACTGGTGCCCATGACGTTCATTTACGATTAAGGAATTTAGAGGAAATTCGAACTATGATTTTGACATTTCTTCCACTACGCTTAAACGGCAAACCTCGGCTGATTCCGTCACGTTTGATGAGGTACGAATCGGCCGAGGTGTGCCGAGTGCCACTACGCTGTGAAGAATTATTGAAAATTTTTGTAAACAAATTTCTTATAAATAAAATAAATGCCATCCGAAGAAAGCGCAATTTAAAATAAACCCCTTGCAATCTATTGTACGTGTACGAAAATTTTAAACATGATATTTAGGTATGCATGTGTACTATTTGTGATTTTTAAAAAAAAAAAAAAAAATCTGCATTCACAGATAAAACTTGTGATAAAGGAATCTTCATAATTTTCAAACTTAATTCACACCGTCAGTGTCTAATTATCTTCTTTCAATTATTTTATTCAATTTTGTGTTGATTCATTGGGGGGGGGGGGGGGCTCACTATATTGTTCCCAGATGACTGCGAATTGAGTTTCTGTGGACCCAAGCGACAAATCAGGCGGGGCACATAAAAGATGTGGTCAGGTAATTGCTATGATAATCGAAACGACCAATCTCAGAACATCAGGTAGCACAGGTAGCTGGCCTTGTCAATCACATCAGTAGCTATTGCTTTATTTATGATTGACAGGCGGTATATTATTGATCTTGAACCAGGTAGTTTTTGGGGGCGTTAACGTAAACTTGGGTGTTTAAAAGAAACTTGAAATCTTATTTTTAATTCTTTTCATTTGTTGTCATTTAAAATTGGATAAAGAAATGTAAAAGATATAAGAAAGTTCAATATACTAGTACTTTTTGTTCTACAATCTTTTCTCTTATGTAAGTAAAGTCATTAACGTTTTTAAAATCATTGAACATAACACGTACTATTGTCATGTTGTAAATTTTGGATTTACCGGGTGACAGTTAATACAAAATTTACATGACAACTTGTCATGTGGTAAATTTTGTATTTACTATACCACCCGGCAAATCCAAAATTTACAACATGATACTACAAGCAGTTGTTTCCTTAAATAAATCGTATAAATTGATTCGGAAACAAACCTGTAGGTTCTGGTACATGATATATTTTTACACGAGTGACGATTTCTCCAACAGTCGCAGACTAACTTTACCTCCGAGTCCCTACTTCCCTGTGCCTCTTTTCAGATGCTACATGTATATTATTTATTATGTCTTAAAAAACGAGAATTCTCAAATTCCTCTAGATCTCTGTTTGGCAATGTCACACAGGATGTAAGAACATTAAAATAACTTGCACGGAAAATCACTATAAAAATAAAACTTGTGTCTTAACCCAAAGAGGATTATAGTTGACCATAAATTTCTAAAGACAACATGTTGTTGTTGTTACGGCACGATCGTTGTTAAATAATTACCTAAGTTATAAAGAATAGAACTGTTGTTGGAGTGCGTATGATCAATTGAGAAAAGTGCTTTTTTCGCATAAGGTCAATTATGCACAAATATATCACTAAAACCTTATGTATGTATATGTATATATATATATATATATATATATATATATATATATATATATATATATATATATATATATATATATATATATATATATATATATATATATATAAGTCTTAAAACAGAGCTACCCTAATTTCCGCGGTGCCATTTACTTAGAAATTCGGTTTACGTATAACAATGCATGTTTCTCACTGTTTACAACTTTCTACATATTGAATGGGAAAATTTTATAAAACCCATTTCAATATAAACAGTAGTCAAAAACGTGATACATGTGATAAAAGGGAGATTTTTGAGATTTTTCAATGGCTTCATTTCAGCTCATGCTAGGAAGTACTGTTTTCATGTAAATACTTATAAGTTTGAGAATCTTATGTCCACCACAAATGTTGACTCACTGATAAAGCTGTCTTTATTTGTTAAAAAGATATTGGCCTGTTTTCAGTAATACTATTTCATTTGATACTACTCTTCCTTACTTGACTTTGTATTTTATATATATGTAAATATGTTCATGTACCTCATATACCATTGTATGGTCTGAGAGAAATAAACAAACAAAGGAATTAGGACAAAAGGACACATAAGCTCAGGTCAGGCAGAACTATAATCGGTCAATTCACTACGTGTTGCTAAGGAGTCTGAAGGCGAAGTCCGCGAATATTTTAAATGAATTTTCTCTAAGACGTACGGCACTAGTTAAATAACAAAATGATTCATTTC